TTGCGATGTAAGGAGGGGGTGGGGCTCCTATAATATTTGCATGTGAACAAAAGCTTATCGTACTGTATATTATGGAGCACTTTTATAGTTAGGTTGCATTTTACATTTTTTTTTAAATAATTTTTTTTTTAACTGCTTACGATTCAAAATTTATTTTATATACAATTAAACTACAATAATTTAAACAAAATGCAATCAAGTGAGTTGAAGCAAAATGAAATAATTTATTTCTGTTTATAAAATTATATTTTTATTTTATAGGAACTAAAAAATAAAGTCTAATAAAGAAAAACAATATTGTTGTCGAAATTAAAATGCAAGATGAGATAATTCTAAGAACATCCAATATTAGTCCAGAAAACTTTATTATGATATAGAAGAAGCCACAAGTTCATTTATTGTATATAACAATACTACAATACTCAGAAAAGTTTTAAATACTTTTAGTTTTTTAAATTAATTATAAAGTAGTTCAAGTTAAAAATTTAAATATTAAGATCACAATATTTAAAACTCATTAATATAAATAAATGTTTATCTAAATTCATCATACGTATATTATTATTTTTAACTAGTAGAAAGCCTGTCAAAAATGAAGGGGAATGAGATTTTTATTCATTTTTTACGATTGATGTCATGCCAGGTTTAAGCTCATAATTATAGGAAACATGATCTTATAATTTTAAAAAAGTTTATCAAGCCCAGCTCAACCCTTAATAATGAGTAAAAGATATTCCACAAGTCAGGTGCAAGCTAATATTAATTTTGAGGTTCCAAGCCCAGTCCTATATAATTTTGAAAATTTTTTCCCGCCTCGGAGATAGTTAAATATTTAATATCATCACATGAACGGGAAATATCTGATTTACCAATTAGTCTAATATGGAAAAAAAACATGTAAATTCCGTACTAAGGGAAACTGGGAAGGCCTGGGCAACCACTTATTAGAGAATCATGACAAATAAAATAAAAATAACCGACTCTTATACTTTTTTGTAATATAATCAATTAAAATTATATCTAAAAAATATGTTGTTTATTATATAGGGTTATTGTTGTTTTTCTAATAAATTTAATGTATGTCTTGCGTTTCTGAAATTATTTGTCAAATGATAAGGGATATATATTTTTTTTATGTTAAGTAAAAAAAAATACTGTCTATTTAAATTACAAAAATTCCATTAAACACTAATGAAACTATGCAAATTATTTATATATTTTTTAAGAAAATATTCTTTATTGACATATAAATTTAGGATAATTTTTTTAAAAAATAATGAGGATTATTTATTATGTATTTTATAAAATTAAGAGCAAATCCTTGTTGACATTTTAATTTTTGATGGAAAAGGCGACAAAATAAACCTGGGCGGTCGTCTGGAGAGGAAATAGTTGATGTATAATTTTATATCATTTAGGGTTGCAGATGAAAGTGATGACGGATTAATAAAGCAGTGTACAAAACACATAACGACCTGATAAAGATGATAGGTCTTAATATTTTTTATAAAAATTTTTACATTATGAGTTAATGGTTATATGATTATATTATATTATAGTTATGATTAATATAATATTGGGTGATGGTTAACACTACCTAACAACCCACAGATCGATCTAATTATTAATTTCCTGCAAATTTATTTAAAGTATTAATATATTTTTTTATAATTCATATCTAAATTTTTAGAATATATTTTACCAAAACAATCAAATAAAGGAATATCACTTCTTAAAGTTTGTAATTGATTTTACTTAATATAAAGCATTTTTTAATTGAAAAATTTGTTTTACACAAGTATCATTTTATATCTCTTTTTCTCTGTCCCAAATTCAAGCAATTACGTATGTAGTCAGGGACAGATCGCAAAATGACGGAAAACTATATAAAAGATTATATTAAATTACAAGAGGCTCAGGAAGTAAATGAAATACCATCGACCAGTCAAATTACGACTGTTGTTAAACAAACTGAATCGTTTTATGACAAATGGGGCGATGGTAATTCTGGTAATATGTCAATACCCGATGATGAATGTTATAATTACATAAATAATAGATAAAACATTTAAGGTGGATAATTTGTTAGAGTGGTGGGCAGCTCATCAAAGCGAATTTCCAATTTCAGCAAAATTGGCAATTCCTGCTTTAAGTGCAAGCTGTGAGCGGAATTTTTCCACTACTGGGAGAACCTGAAAAGGTAGATATGCTTCTCTTTCTTCATGATAATTTGTGAATTTTTAATATCTTTCTTGAGTATAGGGTTTCGTCAATCATGCTGGTTTTTTACTTTGCAAACTGTCAAATATTTATTGCATTTATTATATTTACCTTGAGTCATGAAAGTTTTTAATCCAACATTTTTCATTATTTTTTTTTACAATATTATATAATACAATTATCTTCTTTTGTTAAAAATTTATATTATAAAATAAATTATATTAATATTGTGCAATTAGATTATATTTCAAAATACTATTTATTATTCATGCATTTTTTTAAATAGCGATTTATTTTTATTTTATAAATTAAATAGTAAATTAAATACAATATATTTTATTCTCAAAATATTTTCCATTTTTATAAATTAAATATTAGTTTTATTTTTTTTAAATGTAATATAAAATATAGTATATGACAAATATTATTACCATTTTTATGAATATTAGTTTTATTTTTATAAATGCAATATAAAATATAGTATATGCTCAAAATATCCATTTTCATAAATAACAGTTTTATAATTTTTATAAATTCAATATAATATTTTCAAAATATTAGCTTTTTACATATATTTTTTAAATAATAAGCGATAATACTCGCTGAAAAATATGGTAAAATACCTCATAGGTGAATTTTTGTATATACCAGGTCGAATATAATTTTAAAAAATTCCGAGCCGGGCCTGAAATTATTTTTAAAAAATATCCGGGCCGGGCCTTAAATTTTTAAATCCGGGTCGGGCCTTAAATTTTTAAATCCGGGCCGGGCCGTAAAATTTTTTTTTTTAAAATATCCGGGATGGGCCTAAAAAATTTAAAACCGGGCCAGGCCGTGCAAATGGTACCTCTGCAGGTCTCTGATTATTAAAAAGGCCATGACAGAACTACTGCATATATTTCCATTAATAAAGTTGATAAAATCGGCCGTACTGTACATTCAAGTTTGAACACGCAAAACGATATTTCTGTCAATGTCAGCATTGGTATCCCCTTCTAAAATAGAATCATGAACGACAATGTTAACTCAACCATAAAACGGTCGTAGGATTGTTTTAAAGGCCACGACAGAACTACTGCATATTTTTCCATTAATAAAGTTAATGAAATTGGCCGTACTGTACATTCAAGTTTGAACATTCCTCTAAATATTCATGAAAGTTTCTCAGAGAATCGGATAAAGTAATATTTATATTAACTCCTAGTGAAGTGAATGATAGTACAGAATTAAATGTTTATATTTGTTAAAAAATAGGCGGAGGCATAGGGATTGTGGTAGTGGTGATAGTATAATTTGGAGAACTGGGTGAAAATAAAATAAACATAGATATAAAACATAAGATAAAAAAAACAAAATAAACCTCCAGATGAGTTCATTTCAAGCGTAGTTCTTTATTATTTTATCTACCAGTAACTCTAGAATGGGTAAGGCGTTTGTTTAATCGTCATTATTTTCTTTGCTTATCTTTAATAATAGATTCATCATGTTTTATAGCAATGTGAGAGATTAGGGTTAGCCTAGACAAATAAAGAAATCAGGCAAAAATATAAATAAACTATTGTTGAAATTAAACAAACATTAAAATAATGTAAAACCAGTAGATGGGTCAATATTGAATGCATATTTCTAGTAGTTGGAGGGTTATCATCAAAAACAATTTTTTGGGGACTTATCAAGCCTATTATGATATTCTAAAAGTTAAAAAATAACATGATGAATGTAATGTTATTAAGATTAAGGTTAATTAATTGTAAGGTAATTAAAAAATAAGATTAAAAAAGGGGGGGGGAAAGAATGTATAAATTATTATATTATAAAAATTAAATTAAAGGAATTGATAAGGTTTTGAGAAATAGTGGTTAATAGATAATAGAGTTAGACAGAAAAGAATGAGATAATAAATTTAGTGATAAATAAATTCATTAAGGGAGGGGAAAAAAAATAAAGAAAGAGTTATTTATAAGGATTGGAGATTATAAATAGGTTAGGATAAGAATATTTAAATATTTGAATATACTTGGTTATCTTCTTAATTATTGGTTATGAAAGAAAAATGTGATAATAAAAAAATGTAAGTACTGACAAAAATTGTGAGTATGTTCAAAAAAATATACAAGTTGAGTATCTTGTAGAGATTTCATTAATGTGTAATTGATAATATGAGATAAAAATTGATAAGGTAATCTAAAAAATAAAGAAAGGATTAAGTGAAATAAAAAGTTTCATTCATATTTACAAAGTTGAGGGAATATTGTTTTTATCAATTCAAAGACAATTTTTCAAATCTCTCAATCCATGTTAGGTATGTGTACACCATCAATTCTCGAAATTCCATTCATCTGTTTGTATAAAATAAATAAATAAAATCAACAAATAAAAAAAATAAAAAAAAATACGTACTGATGACACGAAGTAGCGATGACATGACGTAGCGATGACATGACGTAGCGATGACATGACGATGAAGTAGTGAGGACATCAGAAAATTATAATATAGATATGCATACAGAATCAATGATTAGGGTAATTAAAAACAATATTCAACAAAGAATAAAATCCTTCAATGCTTATTCTCATACAGAAACCATAATTAACATTTTTGAACCATATTTAGAATATAAGATTTCACAACTCATTGATAGGAATTATAACCAAAGAGATATCTATTAAATTTTTCCCATGATGATATTAAAAAATTACCAATATCACATAATTAATACATATCATATCCATGTTGAATTGGGAATGTGCAATTGTATAAAGGGCTCAAATGGTGCACAATGGTAGCATCAGGTATATGTTGTTAATAATATATTTGATAAATATTTTTATTTAGTCATATATTATGAAAGAAATTAAAGAAAGTTTTGTAAATGCACCTCCGATTACTACACAAGACAGTTATAGTCTTTCCATTTTAGCTTTAGGTGAATGTTGCCCAAGTCTCTCATTTTATCTACTCTTAAAAAATTTTGAAAATGATTTTAAGCTTCCTGATTTAATTAAAAACAATCATCATAACAATGTTGAATAGCTTTCTAGAAATTTAAACATTTTCCAATAATAATAATAATAATAATAATAATATAATTACTGAAGTAGAATTAATGAGATCAGAGTATGATGTAGATTTATCCAAAGATATAAACAATAAAGCTATTATATTCTAAGGACCAAAATTATTTTATAATAAATTAAAAAAACAACTTAATTTCACCATTATTTTTTAAATAAAAAAACTTATTATCGAAAGGGATCAATGATCCATGTATAACCTACAGCTAAAGCTGGAAGAGAAAGAATACAAAAGATAAAATGCAAATGTAATATTATCATCTTATATTATTTACATATCTATTTTAGTTATAATATTTGTTGCAACTCTTTTTATAAATTTTTAACTTTATTTATATATATTAGTGGTCTGCATTGGGTCTAATTTTTCAAGCTAGCCGGAGATTTTTTTAAAAACTAGGCCCTAATTTATTTAAATATAGAAATTAATTTTTTTTTAAATTTATAATTACTCAAAATAAAAGATGCATGTCATATGGCATAAATTTTCAATAAATAAAATAAAATATGTTTATTTTAAAAATTCAACATAAAATTGATAAATTTAGATATACATTTTAAAAAATTCAAAGTCCCGACCCGGCCCAAATTTTTTAAAAAAAATATTAGGCCCAACCTCAAACCCGATTTTTTTGCCGGGTCGAGTCTTCTTTGCTGATCTCTAATATACATTATATTTTCTTATACATCTATATAATTGAATAAATTTATTTTAAAAATAATATTGCTGCATTTATCACAAATTAATTATATATTTTTTTCCATAACAGAATAAATTTATTAAAAATTAATTTGTGTATGTACATAGTTATTTTTATTTCAATTAAATTAAACGCAAGGTATTATATTGAGGTTATAGTTGAAGATTTTCTAAGGATTGAATTGAAAATTTAAGGATACTTGTTGTTTTCTAGTTTATTTTGATAATAATTTCTAAATATCAGTAGCGTCACTAGGAAAAATTTGAAGCTCCTCCCTAAAAATTTTGAATTTTTTTTGATGCCCCTAAGATTGTAAAAGCTAGTGACACCTCTGATAAATATTCACTTTAGATTTTTAAAGGATATATTCAGATTAAGTCTTAACTTAAACATTGTCTATCATATATTTATAAAAAATATTTTAGCAATTATACACTATTATGTTTTTGTAATTTAGTCATCATTTACACTTTAGTAATTTATTCATCATTTACACTTAGTAATTTAGTCATCATTTACAATTTATTCATTTTTATATTTCAATCACAATTCATATTTTATTTATCAATCGTAATACAAGGAAGTCATGAAAGGATAAGTGATTTCAAATTAGGAAGTTAACTAACACCTATTATATTAATCCTAAATATATATATATAATCATATCTAAATGACGAATATCACACATAATATGTAAATAGAATACTACAATAAATTACTCCTTTGTCAAAACAATTTGCAAGATCTTTATCAATATAATCCTAAATTAAAATTATGAAGAATGGAACTCAATGATGAATTGCATTAAAAATATTTATTGAATTACTTTAAAAAACATATGCATTATATACATAAAATTACTTTAAGATGCTTACTTATATTTTGTATCAATTTTCTTGATTTATCGTATTAATTTATATTTCCTTTATTTGCAAATAAGTGTAAAATATAATCTACCAATTAAGAGAGGAATAAGTAAATAAAGATTTTGTCTATGTATTTAGAATACAATATTAAGCCAAAATAATTTGGAAGATCTTATATCAATATAAGCCGTACCTTCTTGATCTTTAAATTAATCACATGTAATACTAGTAATTGACATTAAAAATAAAATTAAAATGCAATTTTAATAATTTACCTCAATAAATTTTTGGTTTATTTCTAAACCCTAAGTGTTGTTAAACGCTCGTTTTGAGCCGATTTTTAAAAACGGCTAACCCAATATTTTAGCCAGAAAAATATTACCTAAGCCCCGAGATTCCGCTAATTGATGTCTAGACTTTGTGCCATCTATGAGCAAAATTTTTATGGCTAGTGTAATATTATTCTGTATAAAATATTGTTTTAGCCGTTTTTAAAAATGGGCTCAAATCGAGCCGTTTAACAACACTATTCGCTAGTGCTGTAAACATTTTTAAAAAAATCGAACGCGTTCAACGTTCATTGACAAAAATCGAACGCGTTCACGTTCAAATTCAAAAAAAGGAACGCGTTCAAGTTCATGAACGCGTTCATACGTTCAAAATTTAATATAAATAAATGCCTTATATTTTTCAACACAATATATTAGCCATGATAAAAAATAATAGTTTTATTTTGATAATATAATTATAAATACAATATAATAGAGCGATAAAAAAATAAATTTATAAAAAAAATCTTATTAATTTTTAATAATAATTACTTTTCAAAATTTTCATCTGATAGGCATGAACGCTTGTCAGTTAATATAGCGTTAGCTATACTAAAAACTCGCTCAACAAGGGCAGATGAAGGGATTGCGGTGTTATACTTGATAAACAATTCTTTTAAAAGGGGGAATTTATTAAAAACATTTAATGTTTTATCCATTGTTTCAAAAAATTGAGCTATGTTATCATCCTCCAATCTGCCCTCTTCTACGTCAAAAAAAAAGGATATATCGGAATTGATTTTAAAACAGTGAAATATTTTTGATATTTGGGCCATGGTAATTCTAATTCATCTAATATTGAATTTTGATTTTCAGAATCTGATGATGAAATATTTATATCCATGCAAATGATAATCTATTAAATTAAAATATAAAATATTCAAATTAATAAACTTTAATCTTATCTTCTCTAGCAGTAGCACTATGGTACGTTAATTGCAATAAGAAAAAGGAAAAAGTAAAAACAGCTGATTAAAAAAATATAAGACTTTTTTGTTAAAAAATTGGATTAAATATTAATTTTTCAAATAAATAAAAATATAAGACTTTTTTGTTGAAAAATGCGGATTAATATTAATTTTTCAAATAAATAAAAATAAAAAGTGTTTTTAAAATTGAACGAACGTAAAATTGAACGCGTTCATCAAAGAAAAGGAACGCGTTCACGTTCAAAGTTCGTCAAAAAAAAAGGAACGCCGTTCATCACCTTTTTTCAAAAAAACGAACTTCATTCACGAACGCGTTCATACTATTCGCCAATGAATCATGATGTGAAAATTTAAAAAAACTTTAAAAAATAAAAAACTCATAAAATGTAACCTAATTATAAGGGTGCTCTATATTACTCAACACGATGAGTTTTTGTTTAATTGCATAACATTCACGTTTTTTTAAATACTTTATTTTTTTTAAACTTTTTTTAAAATATTATTTTTAAGCTTTTTAAATTTTTTCTTAAGCTTTTATATGATGATTTTATATATTTTTAGATTATTATCATTAATAAGCTGCCAATGATAATTAACTTATTAAAAAGAGGGTTCAATTAATCTCAGATGCTAAATATAAATATATTTAATATAAGATAACTCATACATACCACATAAAATGTCAAAATTGCCAATCAAATTAAAAATATTATTTTATTCCCGCCTTTTTTTTTGTATTCAAAATTAAAATGCTAATTCAAAAAAGTAGTCTGGTAGGAGAAGATCTCGAAAATAGTGAAGATATTTGTTTTTAATTACTTAAGCTCGTTATCTTATTTAAATTTTAGCATCTTATCCTGAAGAGAAATTAAAAGGAAATAAATATATTATTTATCAAAACTCTGAGGAATCTGCTTTGAAAAAAGAGGGAGATAATACAAATTTTGAAAAACAAAATGGAAAAAGTGATATAAATTTTCTAATATTTTTTTAAAATCAGTTATTAGATTGCTATATAGATGATATATTTGATAATGAATTAGATCATTATATCGAACTAAGTCATACTTTATCTAACAATACATCAATTTTGCCAAATTTAAGCCTAAAAAATATTACTACAAAAATAACAAAAAAAGAAATTCATATAAAAAATTTAAATGTTCAAAAAATTCATGGGAAAACTCAAGAATTAATAAGAAGTATTAAATATTATAAAAAATGATATTATTTTTGAATATCAGACTCGAAAATTAATTTTCCTTATCATGTTCAATCAAAATTATCACTTTCTCAAATTGAAAATGAAGAGTTGAATTTATTAACACCAAATGATGAATACAAAAATGGGAATAAGTTTATATCAAATTCAGCAGATAATGAATCACCTTCTAAAACATACTTTGTTTTTGAAAATCTCAATTCATATAAAAGTCCTCAGATTTTGGGAAAGAATATTAATGACCAATGTCAAAAGTAATAGATAAATATAACCTATTAAACATTGTCATGATTTAGGATATAATTTAGAGATCTGCAAAGCCTGAACAATCAAAGCCAGGTAAAGGGTCTGGCAGGCTCAGGAAAAATTAAAAAGATATTATAACAGGCCATTCAAAAAATTCAACAAGCTATTAGATTTATACTTATATTTTGGGCTGTATAAAATAAATCAGATTAGGCCTCAAATTTCTGATTTTAAATTTTAATAAGCTTACCCAAGCATAAGCTAGTATTTGATTAATCGACAAGATAAATTATAATTAGCTTATTTCTATATATTTTAGGATCTATTTATCTAAATATAAAATTTTTGAATAATATAGTAAATTTACAAAAAAAAGTTATTTATCATATGATCCATTTATAATTACACAATACAGATATCAAACAATTGAATTATAAAATGTTATAGAAATAGATAGCCATAAAGGAAGGATGTAAGAGTCTTAATTGATATTGGTAAAAAACTAGAAATACATATTTAAATTGTGATGGCCAAAAAATTTAAAGCCAGGATAAGCTTTTTATAAAAATATAATATCAGGCCTGACATTTCATCAAATTGAGATGGACTGGGCTAGGCAAAATTTATGCCAGGCAACTTGTGCAATTTTTTTTAACAAGCCAGCTAGGGCTTTGCAGATCTTCTTAATATACGAATATAATTTGTTTTAATACATAGCTCAATTCTTAAAACCAGGGGTTCGAACCGAACCGCAAAACCGGAATGAACCGTTATGATTTTCTGAACCGTAACCTTAACCGAACTGTTATGAAGAAAATATTAAAAGAGCAAACCGAACCGTTATAAATATTTTGAACCGGTTCAAAACGGTTTTAAAAATAATTAATTTTAAATTATTAACTTAAATTTAAAATTTTAATTTTCCTTGGGGGCATTTTTTAAATTGGTGATTTCTTTTCAAATTAAATATTTCTATATTATCAACATTATATATCAAATTAAATATTTTTATTTTATCAACATTATATGTCAAATAATACCAGGTTTGTTGTTTTTTCTTTAAATACTTAATTTATAAGAGATTAGACAATTTATCTGTTAATTAGATAAGATATCTTAAAATCAGACATAATTATTCTTGGCTAAATTAACAAATTTATATATAAGATATTAATAAGCTTTTAGAATAATACCTGCTAATAATTAGGAAAAAATTATACAATTCTATTATTAATAAATAACATCTAATAGAAATCAAGTACCTTTTACATTCATTTTTATATCATATGGTTTATTTTTTATCTCATTATAAAAACATGGATCATAGAATTTAAATGACAATAAATAAAATAGTCAGCAATATTTTAATGATATAATAATTTTTTATTTATAATCATTGTTTTTTAAATTCAGAATTCTAATATTATAAAATCTAAATAATCAGAATATTGAAATTCTAAATACCCTACGTGTTCGTATTCAAAGGATAATTTAGATGATGATTTTGAAGATTTATTAAAGTCGCATGAAAGTCTTAATAAGAATAATTCTCAGGGCATCGAAAATTATAATAAATGTATAGAAATAGAATATATAATTCGGCCATTTGATAATATAGAGAGATTAGAAAAAGATACTAATCTTTTGAATTATTGGGAAAATGTAAAGAATAGTATGCCAGAACTTTATAAGTTAGCTATAACTGTGCTAGCAGTTCCAGCTACGCAGGTCTCTGTAGAAAGAGCATTTTCTAGCCTTAAGTTTATACTCTCTGTGCAGAGAACTAAATTAAATCCTGAAATATTAGAAAATATTTTAGTTATCCGTTCGTATTCTCTTTTTAAACCTAAATAGTATAGTATACATATTATTTTATTGATTATTGTATTTACGCATGTTTGTTTTTATCTTATTTATTTATGAAATAAAAAAAAACTAATTTGTCTAATTTATAATTCTTAAATTTAATAAAAATATCTATTAGATTATCATGGATAAATTAAATAAGAAATTATAAACTAAAAAGATTTTTCTCTAAAATTAATATATACATGGTTAATGATTAATTTTTTTAAAAATTAAATTTATAAAAACCGGAACAAACCGAAAAGAACCGTTATAAATTATAAACCGAACTGAACCAATATGATTTTTTTTAAAAAACCGAAATGGAACAAAACCTTTATAAAATTTTAAACTAAAAACCGGAACGAACCTAACCGTTATACTAAACGGTTCGAAACCCTGCTTAAAACTATAAAATTTAGAATATTTTTTTAAAAAAATATTTGCTATATTAATGTATATCTAAGTTTGTTAAATGATCCTTTATGAAAAATTGAATCATAATACCTGCCTTCCCCCAATAATGGGATCATGATTAGTTTTGTTAAAAATTAGGTTTCATAGGCATAGCCAGGATTTTCCTAAGTAGGGGGGATCAAAAAATTACTGGTGGCTTCGCCCCCAAACCCCCTTTGGCTTGCTTTTGCCCAGCCTTAGGCTGGGTTACCTTAGTATATATATAGTTATTAAATATCTTTACAAGATAGGAGGTTAATTTTAATTAAAAAAAGCCTGGAACAAAAATGAAATATATTTTCATTAGTTTATATAAAATATAATGAATTACATGTATATACATTAATTTAAAAGCATGGTAATAATTTATTCCAAACAAGTATAAGAAATTTATTTATAAAAAGTAAGTAGTCATATAGTTGATATTCCTCTATTATATAGAATAAGTTACAAAAAACTAAGTAAAATTCCACTTTTACAGACATATTTGACAGTTAGAGAATATATTACAGTTAATATTTTAACAAATTTTACTAATCAATGCTCTTGATAATAAATATAGCAACAATTAGCATTTAATTATTTAAATCTTCATATTATTCATACCACAATGTCTTTAAAAGATATTTTCTAATGTTCTTATCAATATTTTATAGTCTTCTGTAAAATATATAATTCACTATATTGGTAAAAATTACTTGATTGTCATATGATAATTGATAAAATTAGATACACTGTAAATCTACTACATATAATATTCTGCTGTTTGTATTGTGCTTTAATTTTTTTATTTAATTTATGATTTAATTTTATCAATACTTTTATAATTATATTTTATTTTATTAAGATAAATAAATTAAAATTACTCACTATATAAAAAATTATATTTGATATATTATATTATTTAGTAATTTTATGGACCTATTATTAATAATAATTAAAATACATTACACTTTTGTCTTAAGACTTATCTTTGGCTTACATTCCATTTATTAAAAAACATTTTTGGTTCACTTTATATATATATAAATGCCTTTTTCCAAAAATGTATAAATTATGATGAATAGTTTTATAAAAAAATATCAACTTTTACATTCTTTCTTTCAAATTATTGTTTAAGATATATGCATACATTTTTGAGGGTCAGGGAGTGAGGGGAAGACTAAGGGGGGTATTTTTTATTAGCTTAAAATGATATTCACAAAAAGTGATAAATTTCTGAAGGGGGATTTCCCCTAGCCCCCTTTGGCCACGCCTATGGTAGGTTTTATATGACCAAACCTGAGCTGGAGTTGATGAACCCAATAGGTATAGGCAGGGATTCAAACCCAAACCTGGAGAAGAAAACCCAGGTTTTTGGATAAAATCTGAACCCGGACCAAACCGGAACCCCGTTTATAAAATTTCAAAACCCCGAACAGAACCCTGGAATTTTATTTGAACCCGGGTTCAGTGTATTGTTTGAAATTATGATATATGTATAATTGTAAATAAAAATTATAATAATTTAATAGAGATTTTATAATATTTTCAAATTACCAATTAAGTGTAGTATTAATAAATTTTAAACAACTCAATTCATTTACACCATTTTTAAAATTTGTTCCCAAAGATTCCTATTGGAGTGTTAATATATTTTAAACAATTAAATTCATTTACACCATTTTTTTTAAATTTTTAACTTATTCTCAAAGATTATTAATAGAGGAAAATTAAAGTGAACAAGTCAAAGTAAAAATTATTATATTGGATATTGTTAATTTAAAGAAATATTTCTAAAATTGAGACATGACTATGCTTTGTATTTTTAACTATATTTTGTCAAACAAATAAAAAATTAATTGGCAAAAATTGCCGGGGTCACATCCCTGGGTATAGATATTTTTTGTGGAGAAGGGGGGGGGGTGGCTAATTTTTTATATATTTTATTAAAACATGATATATAAAATTGATTTTTTAAATTACAGATATGAATAAATTTTTATTTATATTAATTTTAGAAATAATATCACAAATTTAATACCACTAATATCTTTAGAAATTAAATATGAACTAAAAAAAATTCCATAAATCTTTCATTTCTCTGTAAATCTTTCATTTCTCTGTTTTCTATAGTCTGTATTTTTTTTATGAAAAAATGTCACTGGCTTTAAGATGATTTCTTTTCTATGATACTATTTATGAAATTAAATCTGACATCTTAAACATGCTCAATTAGCTATCATGATCAAATTCATAAGATAAAATTCACACTCGGCTTGCGGGATAAATTATCCATTCATTTATGGAATTTTTAAAATATCATTCATTAGGAATATCCACAAATACATTGTTGAAGTCCACAAATGTAATATATTTACTAGGGGTGTACCTATACCACTTTTTGGAGGCCGATCCCATCTGATATTCCCGATATTAAATTGATATTAGCCGATTCTAATTTTGTATTCTGTAAAGATACCAATGGTTTTAATTTTATTATACTTTTTATTAGAACATCTATAATTTAACTATACCATAACATATATCATTTAAATATATTATAATGATCAGTTATAATTTATGTTCAATTCAATTGCATTTCTAAAAGTATATAAATTATTTTTATTGTTAAATAACTTTTATATAATAAGTAATATATACATAATATAAACAAATATATTATGAAATTTGAAATAAATATTTAAAATAATATTTAACATTAATATATAGAAGATTTCTTTTTAGAAATACCAAAATTTCCAATTTATCAGGTAACTGTCAATATTACCAGCTTCACTAAAAACAGATTCTGAAGACATTATCACACACTTTTATAAACAGAATGCTCAAAAAAAATAACAATATGGCAGAATGTTTATTAATTATTATTATTAAAAAAATATACATAAAAATGGATTTCGATTTTATTTATAAAAATAAATGATTTTAAAATAACTTTTTATATTTATAAAAATAAATGATTTTTAAATAACTTTTTTTAAAAATTTTATGACATTTTATTTTTGTTAAGCCATGTTATATCGTATCGGAAATTTTTATAATATTGGCCGAAAACCAATATTTTAAAATGGGTGAAATATCGGCCCAATCTGATCCGATAAAATAATTGGTACATCCCTAATATTTATTTAATTTGAATATACAAAATTTTTTTATTTGCTTCTCACAAAATTGCATCTAGGTAATAATATTTTATAAAAATTTAGTCATTTTATCCTTGTTTTTAAAGCTATCTATATTAGACAGGATTGCATACTTTCTAGACAAATCATAAATTATCTTATTAGTTTTGGGTATTTTTAATGATAAATTTTAAAATAAAAGTTTAATTTCTGAATCGAGCAACATCTATAAATATTATATTAACCTACACGATATTTAAATATTATTGACATGTTCGTAATGTTTAATTTTTTAAAATATCATCAAAAAAAAATCGTTCATTGGGCAAAAGGATATTTCAGAACTTGTTTAAAACATTCCTAATTTATTATTTCTTTAAAATTAGATTGATTAATCTTAGCAACATAGGCACAACCAGAATTTTGCTAAGGAAGCACTATTAGATGGGTTAATTGCCTATTTAGAGGTCTTTAGATACACTTATTATAGGCCATAAGCTATTTTAGATTTTTATAAAAATAATTTTGGTTTTCATTTTTTTTCCTAAAATTTTGAATTCGATTTGTTATAGTTATTAATTTACAAATTTTTTTCTTCAAATTTTTGTTTATAGTGATATATTGTATACACTTTTGCGGAAAAAGGAGAGTGGTGTATGTAGGGGGCAATTTTTATTAGCTTATGATATTTACGAGAACAGGCATATATTTTAAAAGTAGAGTAAAATTTTCCCTTGCCCCCCCACCCCTACCTTTGGACTAAGCATATTCATCTATTTGACATTGGGTCATTATTGCAACCAACTATCTAAAATTTTGATAAAATTTAATATATAAAATACCTTACTGAGAAATATATATCTTTGACAATAGCCATTATTTCTGAGATGAGATAGAACGAACAAGTCTTGGAACCTAATGCAAACATCCAATGGATATTAATTATTTAATTGGAAGCATGTTTATTCTGATTTGTCCCTTTTATCAGTGAACGGCAAAGTAAATTCTAACAATTTAGTGCCGAACAATTATGATCATATGTGATATCTTAGAGAATACATTCTTCAAGAAAAAGTATAAAGGTTTCACTCGATCATAGTCTTATATATATATAGACTGCTCAAAAAAACGTATCTAAAGTAATCACTTGCAAAATAGCATCCTTTATTTTAATAAGTCTATGTTTATAATGATTTTAACGTTAAATATTTCATATATAGTATATGAAATCTTTTTTTACTTTATTTAAATCTCATAATATAAATTGCAAGATATAACATTTTTCCAAAAGATATAATATGAAAATGATTAACTATTGTTTAAAAATTCATATTTTAATGAATGTAGAAAATTAGTTTTATAAATTAAGTATAATTATATATAAGGAAATAAAGTAAAAATTCCTCAAGATGGACATTTTAAAATATTTAATTAGCATATTTTTTATGTAACAAAAATGGCGGTTTAATTTACAACATATTATGAATATATAATTTATAATAATGGCATAAATTTAAAATTTATGTAAAAGTTTTTTATTTTTTGGAAAAATTAATAAAATACAAAATGCAAGAAAAATTAAAAATACCTCATATAATTCATGAAAACATATAAGTTTGTTTGTAGATAACAGAAAAATATGTTTTATATAAGGAAAAAAAATTATTCGCCTAAAAATATTATCTTTTTAATTAATTATCTAAAATAGACATTTATAATGTTTTTAATACGAATTTTATCGCAATTTTGAAAATGACCAAATATAGCTTCTAGGCCCTAATATCGATAGGAGGCTTAAAAATTTGAATTCGCCATCTTTTTTTAATTTAAAAATATTATCATTTTAATTAATTATCTAAAATAGACATTTATAATGTTTTTAATACGAATTTTATCGCAATTTTGAAAATGACCAAATATAGCTTCTAGGCCCTAATATCGATAGGAGGCTTAAAAATTTGAATTCGCCATCTTTTTTTGATTTGATACGTTAATTCTGAAAATACATTATCCTTTAGTCCCCTCTATCACTTTTAGCCAATAACTATAATATATAGCTGAAAATAATTCCCTCGACAAATTTGAATTTTTTTTCCCTGAAATTATCTTAGCTATCAACCTTATAAAAAGTTACTCCAAAAATATTAAATATTTTTAATGAAACCGGGGAGGGGAATAGGTGCCATTACATATGTATATATCTTTCAGGGAAGGGGGTGGCGTAAAAATATATTTTGGGGTACAAAAGTAAATCTAAACGTTTGGCCTGCAATTTTTTTCTCTTATGAAAACGTTGACAGATTTTAGTAATTGAACTAATAATTACTTAATTCTTGATTTGCTAATATATGGAAATTTACAAATCATATACAAAAGGATCTTAGTCCATGAATATCTTCAAAATTTAGGCTTGAATGCCTTTGTTTAAAGTGTTTAATTAAATTTTTATAACGATTGTTTTTGTACAAACATTCGCTTATCTGACATTAATATTTCTTGTCTACTGTAATTGGGCATAATAAAATAAAAAAAGATATATAAAATCTTATTCAATCAAATTTTTAAATAAATTTAAATTTATATAAATTCTAACTTTAAAGATAAATAATTAATATGTAATTTGGAGCGGTGGCTAGTCAGGTGTCTTTAGGTGGGTTAACTTAAATAGTCATGATCCTATTGTGTCATATAACCGAGTTTATACAATTCTAATGACGTTATCATACAACTATGGTCAACCTAAACATTTTTCAAGATATATGTCCATCACCTGGATATTGTGATATATACTATATAAAAAATAACTTGTTACTATTTTCATCTCGATTAATTAAATTTCAATTAATATCTAGAAATTCTATATAATAATAAATATTTTTTAGAGGGATTGATTTAGATGTTCCAGATTCACCTGTGCTTAAAACTTATCTAAACGACAATGATATTAAAAGTAATCAAGAAATGGAGTCTGATGATATTAAAAGTAATCAAGAAATGGAGTCTGTTAGCTATTCTCCTGAGATTCCAAGAACTTATGCATGCGAGAATAAATCACGAGAAATATTTCATGAAAATGATAAAACACAGAAAAGACCAAGTTCAGTGCCCATGACCATGAACAATGACATTGCTATTACCCCCTTTAAACGTAAATTAGACTTCAAGAAAGCCTCGGCCCCAATGACTGAACAAAAATTATGTACATTAATTACTTTTACACATTTATTATCTTACATCCTTCCTAAATATTTATATTGATAACTATCTTATATTAAATTCATAGTATTATGTCATATATATTATTGGGATATACAATTTATTGATCTTCATCTGCTTGATTTTGAAAAATTTGTCCTGCCCGATCCCGAACAAATTTTTTTTAATTAGTTCTGAAAAGCCCGACTCGAAGATAAAGATTATTTGTCCGCCTGCCCGACCCGAATTTATTAAAATTAAAAATATTAGCCCCTTGTTTCTTGCAAGAATATTAAAATATATTAATTTGTTTCACAAAATTTAATATCTTATTTAAAAATTTCCCGGCCCGGTCCAATTTTTTTTTAGCCCGACCTAGCCCGAACCAAAATTATTTAGGGCTGGGTACCCGCCGGGCCATCAATTGCTGATCTCTAATGGAATTTAACGGCAATTTCACTGTTAATTAAGACAATTTTTCCCAAAATTTTTGAACTGAACTTAATATTGAACAAAGTAAGCAAGAACACACAAGTTCATTTAGAAAATTGTCTGTTATAGGGTGGGTACTCTACACATGTAGATATATATTTCAAGTAAAATCCAGGGTTGGCATGTCGGTATTTGACTGGTCAAATACGGTCAAATACTCTAAAATATTAATGGCGAATAAATATTTTGATATAATTAACTAGTATGCATTAAAAGCATGTTTATCAATCTTATTATTTTTTTATTAAAATATAAATATGTAATTTTTCTAAATATAGTAATATTTTTAGTTATTTTTTTGCCTAATCATTGCCGTTTCTCGCCTTCTTTATTTTTTTCAATTCATTTTTCTTAAAAAAAATAAAAATACCCGATTTATTATAATCATAATATAATTTTTTCATTCTTATTTTTTAATAAATTTAAATTTTATTTAATATTTAGCCGAGTATAAATTATATTAATTCTCATTTGTTTTACTTACACTTGCTATATTTGGTTTTTAAAATTAATTTTCATTTTAATTGTTCTGGTCAGATTTACGGAATATTATTCAATTCTGGTAAAAAGTTTATTATATTATATTTATAATATTAAGAAATTATTGGAATAATTGGTCGATAATTATAAAATAGTTAAGATTGATTAACTTTACAATAATCAAAATCATTTTTTGTTAAATTTTAATATATTAGGGATTATGGTCAAACCAAAGCATCATGTTTGGAAACATTTTCAAGAAGTACGCGATGGTAAATCAGTTAAAGCGGTGTGCAAGTTTTGCAAGATGTCCTATATCACCCACGTTGATAGAATGGTCAAACATTTATTAAGCAGCTGTACTATGTGCCCTGTTATAATTAAGGAAAAATTTTATTCAAATTCCAAAATATCAACCTCTACAAAAAATATCACAAATGTAATTTGTAATACTTCTAAGTCTAACTCTAATGAAGAATTGGGTGAAATTAGTGAGAATGATTATCAAATGAACAATATTTTGTCTTGTGACTCAGGAGAATTTGATTCCCTTATTTCTAATCAATCTACAAGCAAGGCGATTAAATATAAATCTCAATCTTGTATAACCGGTTTCATAGATAGAATTAATCCCAAAGAAAAAAATGAGCTGGATCAATTGTTTGCAAAGGCTGTATATGCGAGCAATTTATCTTTCCACATCACTGAAAATCCCTACATCCAAGAATTTTTTAAAAAAATACGTCCTATTTACACATTACCCAGGAGAAGGCAGCTGGCTGGATATCTTCTAGACAAAGCGTCAGGTGATATGGAGGTGAGAGTTGCAGATATAATAGATAAAGCTCCTTACTTATCAATTGTATCAGATGGCTGGAGCAACATTAGAAACGAGAGTATTATTAATTTTATGGTGATGACGCCTGTTCCAGTGTTCTACAAATTTCTAAATACTGAGGAAAATCGCCATACGGCAGATTATATTGCCCAGGAATTTAAAAATGTAATTCATGAATTGAATCCGGTAAAAGTATATTCTTTAGTTACTGATAATGCCGCTAACATGAAAGCAGCCTGGAGAATTCTAAAATCTGAATCTATTTATAATCATATACAATGTTATGGTTGTGCAGCGCATACATTGCAGTTTTTCACGATTTTGAACGATTGGACGCCTTCAGTTACCATATTTCAATAATTAAAAAAATTGTTAAATTTTTCAAGAATAAACACATACCAGCTGCAGTATTTTCCCGTAATAAGAATCTTCATGGCATACCATCTACATTAAGTACAATTAGCCAAACAAGATGGGCATCGTCAATAAAATGTATGGAGCAAATTCAAATATGCAAGAAAGCTCTAAAAGCATCAGTTGTTGAAGAAGCTGTTTGTGATAATTGTCCCATAGAAATTACCAATAATATATTAAACGAAGAATTTTGGACGAAAAATTTAAAATTTTTAGCTATACTCCAACCTTTAGCTACCTCATTGTTGAAAGTGCAAGGGGATAAATATACTTTGGCCCAAGTAAAAAACGAGATGCTTAATTTGGAAAAACACATAATACAATCATGCCATGATTCTATATTTTCTCCATCTCAAGAAAAAAAAATTAAGGTTATGTTTGAAAAGAGAAAAACTGATATAAATACATGTGCTCACAATGCTGCTTATTTATTGGACCCCCAATATCAAGGTCAATTGACCAGTCAATTGACCGAATTTGACCGGTCAATTGACCGACATGCCAACCCTGTAATATACACTCATTTTATTTTTTTTGGAATTATTAATATATATATGTTAAATTAGATTATATTAATCTAGTCTACTATTTTTTATAATCTGAAACTTTAATAAATATTAAATTGAACATCTAATAGTTGAATCTAAATCTAATTGACTCAATTTAAATGAAGGCAATTTAAAGTTCAATACTCAATAATTAAGTTCATTTATTTAATGATTAATAGGATATAAAATTTTTTTTTATCTTAACGTAAAACTATTCATAACATCCAAAGATTGCCTCCTAGGCGATTTTAAACATCAGATTTTTAAAAATTATTAAAATATATCCTAACTAATTTGTATAAAGACGTTATATTTTGGAAAATAATATAATAATTTGTAAATATTTTTCGATTTTATCATATGAGAAACTAATGCAATTTTATTATTATGAGCCTTGTACAAAATGAATTATATTTTGACTGGATTTTTAATATGGGTTTCTTTCAAATATGACCATTTTTTCCATTGACTTTAATAAATTTGCATTTTTTAAATAAAATCAAGCAAGAAACAAATGATGGCGGTCCTTAAATTCGTCAAATATCGTCAGCCCTATATGGCTGTCCTTAAAAATAAAAATCGGCTTTTGTATAAATGGCCTTCACTAATAAAACACTATTATAAAAAAATTTCATTTATTTGTAAATATCAATATAATAACATATGACAACTAACAACAGTATCAATCATTCGTTTTAAAGGTAGAAACGAATTGGTGCTTATCACCTTTAAAATAAAAAATGTCATTTTTCTATTGAGCATCCTCAATTTTATTTTTAAAATTTACAGTTGTTTAAAAGATTTATTAGCACCTATTATAACAACAAAAATCCTGCAGGTTTGGCCTGCGGGCCGGGAGTAACATCATTAATAATTGCCCGAAAAATATTAATGTTATATTTTCTTCCTCTTTTGCCTTATTGAAATATAATAATTATAAAAGGAATTTTATAAAAAAAATCAAGAAGTTAACACAATTAAATTATCAAACTTAGAACTGAATATATGTGTAATTTTAAAATGGAGAGTAAAATAAATATTTTGAGATTTGAGGTTTCTTCTCTATATCAATTTCTTCTTTATAAACCTTTTTTAAAAATTCTTGCAAGCACTATGAGCCAAATGAATACCTTAATTTTTTTTGTTACCAGACCATTAATGGGCTCAGGATAAATAATATTTTGCATGACTAAAGATTTGTCCTTAAAAAAATCAATGGAAACCCCATAATTAAAGAAAATGCGCGTATAAGGCTTTTTTAATAAAAATAATAATTAAGCTTCAAAATTCAATTTGATAAATATAAAGAGATAGTGTACATAATCAAAATTTTATCATTTTTCTTTCGGTCCAGGTCCATTAAAATGACAAAAAAAAATTCTAAAGAATAAACCAGCATGGTTTCCTCCAAACCGACCAAACTATTGATCTTAATTATAAATGACTAATTTATGTATTTCCATTATTCTTAATTACAATTTACATTTAACTGCTTAAATATTGTATAAAACGAATTTAATTTTTAAAAAAAATTTTTTTCCCAATCTATATTAATCATTTATTTTTTTGTGAAAATACTCCATTTTCCTTACTTCAGCATTTCATGGCATATTTGATTGGACAAAGACTCAGGAAAACCAGAATTCCCAAAATGACCAATGTGAAGAAGAATTAAAGGATTTAAATCAATATCAACTGAATCATATCAAAAAAAGGTTTATAATTAATTCTTTAAAACACTTAGTTGAGGGTTGGGGGGGGGGAGGGTCACGGTGAGCATTCCGAACTTCAACCTTTAAACAAAGTCTGGAAAGAATACGGACCGGTGAAATTGATTAAAATATTAAATAACAATTGAATTTTAAATGATATATTTGTAGAAATGAGAAAATTAATAATCATAGATCCTAGAGTAATCTTTTTTGATTAATATATTATAGAAAGATGAAAAACTTATTTCTGGATTCAGATGATGAGGATGACAATGATAAGCTTATAGAAACTAATCCTATAAACATTATTCTAAGCCCTGAAAAACTTACGACGAACAAGGAGGACAATTCTAATGATTTTAATCAACATTTATCATGTAATTCGAATACAAATCTATTTTCATCAATGTCACACGATAACGAAAGTTATGAGCACGATGACATTGATATTCACGAAGGAGGGTTTGGAGATGAAGAGGACGAAGTTGCTCAATACCTAACAGGATATAACAAGTTCATATAGTTTCAAACTTTTCATATTAATATATTTTTTTAAGTTTTATTGAATAGTTAGTTTAAAATTTTTATTTGAGTCATTTATTATATGATCGAATACATATTGAAAATTAGGATTAAGAACGATTACATAGAAGATGAAGCACAACTTTCTGGTTCGGAAGCAGCTGAAGATGACTCTGACGGTTTTGAAAAATAGCTTTTAATCTATAATTTATCTTAAAGATTACTTTGAAAATGATTGTTTTTAACTCGGTTTTTTTGATTTGATTTAATATTATAAACATTTATTATCAATTACTAAAAATTTTTTATTAAAGTTTTAAGATGGGGATTAGAGGTGATGTGGGAAAATTTTTTATTAGCGACCTGCTCACTCATGTTTACACTAAAAAATTCACGCCTGATGTTCAATTTTTTTTGCCCCTCGCCCATTCAAAAGGCAAAAATTTTTTATCATGCCCGAAAAATTGATGGATTATTTATAAATTATTTTCGTAATTTTACATGAAAGAAAATTTTCCTATACATCTTTGCGACAATTAAAAATTCACTAATTAAGTCATATTTTTCTATTTTATTATATTTGCGTTCACCTTACTTCTATCAAACGATTATTGGCTATAGAAAATAATCATTCACCCATTTTTAGTGGCTAATTTTTTGAAAAGGAAAAAAGAAAACATCCGTAATTGACAAAATACAAAAACTGTAATAATAATGAAATAAGCGTTTTATATAAAATAAAGACCTGCAGGCCCGGTCCTAAGCCCAGATGGGCCAGGCCTTTTTTTAAAAAATAACCTTAAAAAAATTGAAAATACTCTGGGTCGCTATAATCTAAAATTAAAAATAAATAAAATATATTTAAAAATTGTGTATCAGAGAACAATATATCATATTTCCTATTTCCATTTTTTCTAGTAAAATATTATTCAAATTAATTATTCACCTAATCATTATTTTAGGTGTAATCAATCAAATTAAAAGTAATAAAACTATATTAAAAATATAATACACTTTTTAAGAGAAAAATTATATCATTTTATCTCTCTTTATCTCTTGTCAGGGAGAGAGCGCAAAATGATTGATACTTATATAAAAGGTTACAAAATAACAGGAAATAAGGGAATTACCATCAGCCAGTTGAATTGTGTGTGGTTATTCAAACTCATTCCTTTTGACAAATGGGGAGAATACGATTTTTTTTATTTCAGAATTTATATTTCTTTAAAATTATACGTGAGATTTTTTTTATTAAATATTATAATTTCTAAGAATGAAAATATTTATTTATTACACAACATAATATCAATATCCTTTTTTAAGAAAAATATAACAATAAAACAAAATCCTTGACATTTTAGCATAAAAAAATTCTTCTGATATAAAATATAAAATTCTTATAGTTTATTCAATCTTTTTATTAAATTTGTAAAAATTCTTGAATTTTGAAAAAATATATTTTTGGATAAGTCTACTTGAGTAGCTTATTGGGGGAAAACGACTTGCTATATTTTTAAATAACTTCAAAATAGATAACAAGGTAAATTAGATTTTTCCATTTTAAAGATATTATCTTTTAAAAATTACTATGATTCGCGCAAAATTTTAGATCTTACCCAATAATTCTCTTGGAAAATCCCGATATGCCCAATCACTGATCATAATTTATTCACAGCGGTGACACCTCTAAATACGATTATGATAATTGTAACTTTTCTAGTTATTATATCTTAAAATATGGTAAACATCTACTCTTAGAAAAAATAAAACCTATGTAAATAATTGTAATAAAATTTTTGGGATGATCTTAATTAAAAAAGGAAGAAGCAATTAACCACTAGAAACTTGACTACTCCTGAATCTCCAAATCAGGCCATCTATCCCTCCATAAGCTAGTAACGATATTTCTCTTCACCAAATGAAAATTAGAATAAATCAAAATGAGAAAATATATTCTAACGACTATAGCGTCTACGCACCCTTCCTACCCTTCCCATCTTAGTTTTTGTAAGATTTTATTATTTTTTTACCATAAAACTATTTTTTGCCTCAGATTCATTTAATCCCATTTTCTTTCTTTTTTAATTTATACATAATTGGGTTTTTAATTTAATTTATTTAATAGCTCAACTGAGAACTATATAAATTTAGCTATTCTCATTAATATGATATCACATGCATAAAGTGTATTTATAACTCATGTGTTTCCTTTTTATTACATATCTGAAGTATGATGATAAAATGAAAATGTGATTAAAAATGCAATTTAAAATGTTTATATTGAAAATAGGTTATTTGAAAAAAATCAGAGACCTGAAGGCCTTCAACCTGACCTGCAAGGGGCCAAAAAATTATATGATTTTAAAAATCCTGTCTGGACAAGACTTAAACATCTAGGCCGAACTGATTTTTAAAAATATTTATAATTGATCAGTAAGGAAATGTTGGATAATCGTATAATGGAATTTATTTGTTGCTCATATTTTCAATTTTCCTGAAAAATTTGCAAAATACAGCCAAAATTATTCAAAAACGAAATTTAAATAATTTCGGTCCATACTGTAAAATGATCAAAATAAAAATCCAAACCAGGTCAAGAAAATATACCAAAAATTTTTTATTTTTTTTTGAATCCGAATCCAGACTTAAAAATGAAAGTTTTTTTTGAAATTGAAAGTGGCTTAAAATTTCGGCCTCTGTAAATCTCTCAAAAATATTTAGATCGATTGTTCAAGGAAAAAAGCCACCCCAACTACCAGCTACCTGTCAGCCCTTATCACGTGCCTAGTTTCGATGAAATTAGAAACTATTATTTAATATTGCTTCAAATATAACCTAAATCAGGCCTTTATCAAAAATCAATAAAATGATATAAATGGTTATGTCTGCTTGACAGCCCTAAGGTATCTTTTTGATTTTAGGTAGCAGGCCAACTTCGTATCAGGTCAATTCAGCGAAACTTTTATCGCGAAACGCTTTTTCGCGAATGTCGTTTATCGCGAAGGAATTTTATAGCGAAGGCAATATCGCGAAACCAATTCCGCGAATTTTTTTCCGCGAAACTTTTATAGCGAAGACAAAATCGCGAATTTATTTCCGCGAAACCTTGACCGCGAATACTTTATAGCGAATACATTATAGCGAAACTTATAGCAAAACTTAAATCGCCAACTCTTTATAGCGAATTTTCTACCGCGAATGTATGTGCGCGAAATTATTATAGCTAGCGCATGACTTCGAAAATTACGAATTCATTTTAAGTGAAATTGATATATTCAATATCAATTTACCAACCGAAGTTTCTTAAATCATAAACGCGAATGTTTTAAGAATATTTTATTACGTATTGTTTATTTAATAAGCATGTAACATTTATCTGATGTGATACAAAATACATTACTCTTTCTGGCCTCACTCACTCATGGTTGTAAGTATGGAGGGGACATTTTGGGTTAAGTTTTTACCAGAATAAGTTAACCCCCCCCCCCCCCCCCGTGTGCTTTATGTCATTTAAAGAAAATTATCTGATATACCTTTTTTCTAATCTAGATGAAAAATTATATAGAAAGCTAAGAATTTTTTATTGATTTTCTCAGATTATTTTTAAAAATTATAGAAGATTATACTGATAATTAATGCCTCCTAATTATAATTTTTAGATAATGCACATCGATATAACTTTCTGATAAAATAGTAACTAATTTATTTGAATATTTTGACCTCTCCTTTTTCTTCTTTTCGCATTTTAATAAATAGAAATAACTGCAAAGTTATGATTATCAAAAAAAAAATTCAAATTATTCTATTGGATTACATTGTAATATTTATGAAGAATAAATTATGGAAATAAATCATTAGATCTTCAGTTATTTTAGTTTTTTATTTTTGCTGATTTCACAAGTCTAACTAAACAATATAAAAATTAAAAAAACGTATAATAGTTTTCATCATTTTATAAAATAATACCAGTTCAATTAATATCAGGAGTTTTTATGAAAACACCGCTAAACGCTCCTTCTCAATTTGTAAGCACTTTTACTCATTATTCGAACTTCTTTAAATATCATGTTTAAGATATTTATATCTATAATTACCATAATAATTTGATAATTCTGAGAAATTTCTTTATCGCTTCAACTTGTGTATCAGAACAGTGGCATAGACAGGATTTTTATACTTAATATCATCGCCGTTAAATTTGGCGACTGTATAGTTCTACGAACTAATTGTAAATTATATGAATATTTCTTGTTTTATTAGTACCAATTGAGTACTTAAACGAGTATAATAGCTAGTAAAAGGAAAAAAACTATTTGTAACAAAATTTTGGCAAATCTATGATTTAAGCGACTGAAATAATTTTTTCCGAAAATTTTATCGATGTTCCTTATTAATTATAATTTAATTCGTTTAGACAGTATAAAGAAAAAGTTTATTAGCTAAATAAGAAAAATTGCCTAATTCAGGCATTATTGATAGAATGGAAAATAGCTGGTTTGCGCTAATATTTATTAATTCTTCAGTCATTTTTTTCACACACAAAAAGGCAACCGTGTTATAAGAAAAATAAAATCTATATCACCCATTAAAGCGTAAAATCAACCAAATTTCTGGAAGCAATAAATCTGGAACTTAAATCAATAATTATTACATTGATTCTTCAATTCATTTGGTAGATAGTTTTTACTGACAAAATAAGATAAAATTGCCAAGATTAACGACATGCGAAAACAAACAAATATTTTTGGGTAAGCTCTACTATATGAAATGCCAGATTATTACTTAGTATTACATCAATCAGTTTTTCCAGTCAATAAACAAAAACTAGTTTTAATAAGCGAAATAGACAATAGCAAACCTTTAAGTATGAACCAAAAAGTATTAGAATTTCAAAAATTTGAAACATTATAAGATTAAACAAAGAATCTAAAGAAAGCAATTATAATAAAAAAAATTAAATGAAATATCTTAAAAAAATATTACTATATTTATTTATAAAATCAACTTTTTTCCTATTTCAAAATATGAGGATTTAAAGATACTCGATATTTTAGCCAAAAGAAAATTAAGCTTGGAAACTTTTCCGACAGATGACATAACTTGCGGCAACTTTGGAAAATGTTATATCAAAATGAGAAGGATTGGTTATGGTAAAATTTAAAACAATTAGGATAGCTAATTATTTTCATCAAGTGAATAGGTTGAGCTATTGTTTAATAACGTAATATTAAGTGCGCTTAACCTCTCTGAGAAGCGTTCCGTTTTATAATTATAATTTGTAAAAAAAATTGTGAAAATGGATTATAAAATAAAATGATGGTATTGTTTATTCCTAGATTTGTAAGATTTTTTTATGTTGTTTTTTAAATAAGAATTTTCTTTAGACTATGGAAGGAGTTTTATCAATTTACAAGAAAGTTGTCATTAATCATATTTCCCAGTGAGGGAGGTTTAGCTCTTCCCCTTTGTCTACGCCACTGTTCAGAACACTTATTTAAAAACGATTTTATAAACTGTAAAATCCAAGCTGATAAGAGTTATTCTTACCATATTCTCCATAATTAATAATAAATCGTTTATAATTACATTAGCATTTTAATTATATCATCTAAAACCGCATACAATTAAAATAAAGCCTAGCGAAGAATGATTTTAAAATTATTGGTGGATGTTTTAGAGAAAATAACTTAAAATTCCTATAAGTTCTTTGTAATAAGTGAAAAGGTAAGACATCTCATATACATTTCTTACGTAAATTTCTTAAATCTAGTTTTCATAAAAAAATTTAGATTTATTATTATTCAGCGAGATTTTTTAATTTTTAATGCCACTCTTCGCGGGTAAATAAAAATATTTTTTAAAAAAATATAACCAAAAAAAATGATGTATTTTAATTTTAGTTTTATTTTTATTATTCATGACATGAAGCCACCTAAGCTCAATTACATTGTTAATCAAATGAGAATATAGTATATTTAAAAAAGTTAACAAAATGCCAATATTTAAATAATTAAGAACCTTAAGGAATTTTAGAGCTATAATATAACAAAATTAATTCAAGCAATTATTTTTCCATCGTAACTTGAACTGAGAACTCATTAGAGGAGCATCATTGAAATTAGAGGAAGGATAGTTAGTTATGAAATAATTATCATTATTTGAATAAAATTGGAAAGGGATGAATTGTATTTTCTTTTTTTAATTATTTTTATTTGGTAGGTGGTTAAAAGTTTTGAGAGGGTTGATATCATTTATAGATAAGTATACAAGCCCCTGATTATATTCTCCACAGTCCTTTTCTTAAGTTAAAATAGGAAATGGTATAGCGTATTATCTTATTTTAATAGATTCCTTTAGGCCATATTTTTTGATATCTAATTCACATTTAGAATAAATATCCTTACAAAATAAATTTAATCATAAAAAGTTTTTTAAAAAATGATTTTTTTATTTATTGAATATGTGAAGGAAAAAGTAGAGCATTGTCATATCATATCGTCTAAGCCAATAGTTTGTTTGTTAAATATATAACTGAAGTGTAAAATTTTAAAAGAATCACTGATTTGGACAAAGACTGGTTAAAAATAACCATGGGAAAAAAACATCGGACAAAAACATCCCAATATAAAAAAAATTACATGCTTTAATGAATAAAAGGAAAATGTAATCCTCATTTTAAACTTTGCCCTTTAGTGTAATACTTGAGTATTTATTATAATATTTTACTAATAATGTTGCTCATCAAAAGTGATCATATTTGTAAGGGAAAACAACTATATGACTCAAGGGCTAGGAATATGAAATTTAAAATAGTTTATAATGCATGACGAAAGGTAGTTATTTTTGAAATATTAATCGTAGGATTGATGTGGTATAGAAAGATCACATATAAAAGAATTTGTAAATACCCTCATAAAATCTGTATCTTGACGAATGAGTTGGTATGTAGCTTGCTAAATTTTATACCAAAGTAGACCTTCCTATATTTTTGTCACAAAAAATAATGCAAATATAAAAAATTTGAGCCTATAATATAAAAACAAACAAAAATTTATTATTGTATTTTATAAGACTCTGAAATAAAGAGGAAAGAATGGCGAAAATATTTATAATTTATAACCAAGGGAATGGCACCAGCCAGACGAGAAAATTTTTTTTTTTAAATTTCGGCAATACTTATTTTTTAATAGTTATAATTTATCAATTATGTCATTAATTATTTGTTAATTTTTATAAGTGTGGCTATATTTTTATTATATTTTAAAATTATTTATTCAATAAGAACCCAAATCAAAATATTATATTTAAATTAATTGAGATTCATGCCGAGATATTATACTAAATCACGCCCCCCCCCTTCCCAAATAAACAGAAAAGATAAAAAGATATCTATAAAGATCGTAAAATATAACTTGAAATATTTTGATCACCACCTGTAGTATGCCTAATTATTATATTACATACTTCATTAAATTCACTATGAGTAAAATGCTCTCCTTAATATTAGGAACTCAATAAATAGCAGTATTGTGATCACATGTATTTATATCGTTTTTTCTTTTTCAAACATATTTTTATATTCAGATCTTATAGAATATTTGACTATATGACCAGGTCAAATATTCCCCCGTTTAATTGACCCGTCAAAATCTAGTCATTTGACTGGTTAATAGACTGACTGCTAACCCTGGCCAAAATTGATTGATAAATTTATAAATATTAGCTAGTGTTGTTAAACGGCTCATTTTGAGCCGATTTTTAAAAACGGCTAACTCAATATTTTAGCCAGAAAAATATTGCCTAAGCCTTGAGATTTTTTAATAGATGTTCAAACCTTTGTTCCTTCTACAAAAAAAATCTTCAGTCTTGCTTAATATTATTCAGGATGAAATATTGAGTTAGTCGTTTTTAAAAATCGGCTCAAAAAGAGCCGTTTAACAACACTAATTAGGTCATCAGACATTAAATAGGAATGCTACCCAGATATCAATTTCGCCAGTAAATATCAAGATTTAACTAATAAACTCAATGATTAATATATTGATAAAGCTGAGTTCCTTGTGCGCGATTATTATAAAAACTTCGAAGAAAAGGATAGGATAGCGAAAAAGTGTATTTCAATAACAAATTTCATAAACCAGATCTAAGTTTATTAATCATTATATAAATTTTTTAAGGTTAGAAGAAAATTACAAACTATCATTGTGAATCAATCTTCAACCTATTTTAAAAAATATTATTCAAATAATTTAATTATAAAAAAGTGATTCAAAATAAATTAGTCTTTATTAGCAATTATCGCGATATTAAATTCTCTATAATATCTTCGCGATATATGTTTCGCGTTAATAACTTCGCTATAAAATTTTCGCGATTATTGATTCGCGATTAAAGTTTCGCGGTAACGTATTCGCTTTAAAGGTTTCGCGATAAAGATTTCGCTATAAAATTTTCGCGATAAAAGTTTCGCGGTAATGTATTCGCATTAAAGGTTTCGCGATAAAGGTTTCGCTATAAAAAATTCCCAATATTTGTTTCGCGATATTGCATTCGCGGTAATGTATTCGCAATAAAGGTTTCGCTATAAAAAATTCGCGATATTTGTTTCGCGATATTGCATTCGCGGAATAGTATTCGCTATTATGGATTCGCGATAAAAGTTTCGCTATAAAATCCATTCGCGATAAAAGTTTCGCGAAAAAGTGTTTCGCGATTAAAGTTTCGCTGAATTGACATGGAACCGGCCAACTTGGGGTTTTTTTCCCGTGATATTTTTTCTTAAAACTTTCTTTAAAGTTTTTTTTTTCTGAAATTTTTATTTTTTTTAATAAACAAGGTTAATATGTATCTATTAAGATTTAAAATAAAAATTTGCAATAAGAATTTAGGACATTGTATGTCGAATTATATTTTTATCAAGGATAATCTTTGGGCCACCGATATTTAATAATAAAAATTTACTTATAACTTAACGACATTTTATTTAAATTAATGAATGTTATCTTTTTAAATATATTAAATATAGTACATTTTTATATAATAAAATTTTAATGTTAAATCGAATTATTATAATAAAAGTGGCTAAAAATGAAATATGAATTGAAACAAGAAAAGGATTTTAAAATATTTAAGTTAAAACAATCAGCTAAAATAGTCAATATTTTAAATGATTATTTTCATGTTTTTAGAGAGTTACCAGCCAACGGAAAATAATAAATATAACATAATTTTCATTTTTTAAAAGTTAACGGAAAAATATTAAGATTAGTTTATTATATCATTCTAAAAAACAGGGAATTACGAGAAAAAGCAACGTTAAGTATATTAAATTAAGATAAATTAGTCCAAATGAAAAAAACAAAGAAATAATTTTTAGTGCTAACTCAGAATTGAATAATTTGGTATTAGTCCCTGGTATCTGCAAAAAATATACCATGAGTATCGAATCAATCTAAAAATAATCATTCAACATAAGTGGGACATAGAATTTAAAATAAAATTTGTCTCAACACTTATAGTATTTTCTTATTTTTCTAGTTGTGAATATACCTAGTTCTTTGGAATCATATGTTACTAATTTAAGGTAAAAATTATTTTTGTAAATATTTGATTTTGTGACATTTTATAAAGTTCTCAACAATTCCGATTCACGAGAATTTTACAACTTATATTCATTTTATGCTTGACACTTTTTCTATTAATATTATTTTTTTTTTTTAATTATCATAAATCCCATATGAAACGTTATAACATACAAATTTATAATTTTGGATTTTTAAAGGAAGTGAAGATTATTACGAAATAGATCCTTTGGCGGAACATGATAAAATGGATGAAAATGAACTGAATCAACTCGGGAAAATTCATCGGTAATTTAATATTTTCCAGGGTCCAAACCGTAACGAATATGGGTTCAAATTTAGGCTATGATAAAAATAATCGTTCAGATGGTTCTCAAAATTAATATCTGTTCGGTTTGGACCTTTAAAACAGTTCAAATGTTTCGGCATACAGACATATTATAATTTATGTAAAGAAAAGAATATTTTTAAACTTATATCACTATTTAAAATATAATATAAGCCATATACAATTAAAATATTTTCAAGATTCTCTTCTATCAAATTATATCTATTAAGAGTAAGAAAATTTTTTAGATCCGAGAACACATATATGTGCTAACTTTACTAATGGCACTGTCAAACAACTATAGAAGTATATCAAAATTAATTACTGATACTTTTCGGTAAAAACTGATTATTAATCATTTTTAAAACAATATTGACAGGCGTTTTTAGAGTTAGGTTCAGGTGATAAATTTTTTAACGTTTTGAGTTAAGTTCGGCAAATAATACCAGCTTAACGGGTCTGTTCAGGTTCGGTTTGAATTTTCCTGATGTTTTTTATTAGATAGACAGAATAGAGATTTATCGAAGTAAAAAATGAACCTTGGTAACTTGATATGTCTGCCTATTATATTTCATAGAGTTTTGGAAAATTAAGGACTAATTGAACAGTGTTTTTACTTATTTTTTTAGAACTTAAATTTTCAATCCATAAGTTTAGCGTTACACCTTGTTTATAGTAAGGATTCGCTCAAGCAACTCCAAATTAATCGCTAGCGAAATTAGAGCTGATTTGTCACAACTATAATACTTTTTGAAATATAGGTAAACAGCTGTCGCGATTATCATTTCGCTCAGTATTTATAAATTATACCTATTATTGAATTGCTTTTGTAAATTATGTAGCGAAAATTTTGCACGCGCTTACTATAAACGCAACATCAGCATCCTCTAAATTTCTGACAAAATAAAAACGATTCTTAATCTATATAATTTTATATATATCGTTTTTACATATAACTTAAAAAATACGAGGAAATTGTCTCAAATTAAATAAGATGCGCTCTATATATATTGCCAACCAATCAGGTCCAAAATTTAAAAAATATTTTAAGAATTGGCCAATATAGATTTATAGGATCAAATTTTTTCACTAGTACTATAATATCCTTTATGAATTTTAATTTTTTAAATTAAATACGTTAATATATGAGTTACTGGCTATTTTATAACTACTAAAAATCTGGGTCTATGAAACAGTCCCGAATTCGATATAATCCTATTACATACATATAGAATTTAGAATCACTAAAGCAATATTTTAAATTTTAGATTAAAATGTGTGAAAATAATTAATGCCCAAATTGTGAATTTAAACATTACATATATATGTTTTAAAGAAAAGTGACCTTAGACCAAGACAAAAGAGAAATTAGAACATTGCAAGAGATTTTCTTTGAAGACGCTGACGATCCCGAAAACAACAAAACCAAAAGAGTCAAAAAATTTCAATGGAATTTCGAAAATTTGGGTATAGAATTTGATGATATCGAATTTATATGCGTTTTACAAAAATTTATTTTATATACTGTTTCATATAGATAACAATAAAGATTTCAATCTCGAAACTAACGAGAATAATGATGGCTCAGATGAGCTAGAAGAAAATGCTTCTAAAGATATGGAAGATGAGTTGGATGGAAAAGATAATTTGGACCTTGATTTCTCTTTAGAATTTTCCAGGCGTAAGTTTAGATTCGAAAGGGAACAATGGTTAAATAGTAGATCGGTGAGTATATATTTATCTATTCATAACTCTTACATATAACTATTATTGTATTTACCAGTGATTGATATTTTATAAAAGCAGAAAATATTGATTTATTATCTCAAAATTTAGAGAATAAAATTATACATGATATAGATAGATTGATTACCAATTTAATTTAACATTATTAACAGATATTTAGCATCTTAGCAAATATTAATTAAAAATAATTTTAATAGCTAAAAGTACGATATGATTGTTAATTTTTTATTTACAAGGGTTTAGATACAAATTCAGAATCCACTGCTAAAATTAATGTAAATGATCAGGATATAGATGTCGATCAAATTGGAAAGGAATCTTATTTTTCTATATTTAGACACTACGACGAAACTTTATCCTTAGATTATTTCGATTCCAGGATCGAGGTTAATAAATGATACTATATAATTATTTATTAAATATTGTATGTTGAGTTCATCTCTGGAAATTTCTAAAATGTCCAAAAATCAACTAGCTTTATGAAATATTCGGCCTCTCATACTGAACATAAGTAAAACACAATATTGTGAAACTAATATGATACTAAAATAAATATATTTTTGAGTTCAGACATATCGCTTGAAAATTTATCTCAATTGGTCTTTCCTATTACTAATTTATTTAGCAATATGCACATTATATTCAACCTATTTTCAAGACATTTATCCTAATTAAATCTTTTTAAACATCCCTAAAATTTTTTATTCCTTACCACAATATTTTTGGAGTGAGATGCTAGAATAGAAAAATCTCTGATTATATAAACATACAACCACACGACCCTCCAATCATAGTGTTTTTGGTTTAAATCCATTATCTCTTTTCTTTCAATATGTGCTTTCATCGTAAACCACTCAATAACGAAGTTTGTTTTTTGGAAAAAAATGATGAATGGCGTTCCTTTTATTTTTAACTTGAACGTGAACGCATTCCTTTTTTTGACGAACGCATACCTTTTTTACGTTTGTTCAATTTTAGTAAATTTTATTTTTATTCATTTGAAAATTAATAAATATTAATTTAATATTATTCCAAATTTTTTTTAAAAAAGGGTTATTTTTTAATCAGTTGTTTCCTTTATCATATTTCAGTTTAGCCAGCCACATTTCTGTCCTATAGTATAGTTTATTAATTTCAATATAATTTATATTTTTTAGATTAGCATAAGCTTAGATGTTATTATTTCATCATCGTCAGATTCTGAAAATTCAGAATAAGATGAATTAACATTACTATGTATTGCTAAATATAATAAATACTTTACAGTAACATAATATATAATAAACTAATTTTATCCTTATCAAATATAAAATGTTTCCAAAAAGTATTTATCAATTTCAAAATCTTCAAGTTCTAATTTAAAGAAATACTTGATTGTAATATTTATTATTTTATATAATATAACTTTAAGTATCCAGTTAAAAATTTATATTAGATTGCTGTATTTCAAAGGCTTATTAAATAATTATGATAATTATAATAGACATAAAGTAAAAATCATCAAATATTATATATTATATGCATGGATAAAAGTAGTTATATTAGTGATCTGCATCGGGCCTAATTTTTCAAGCCTGGCCCGAAATTTTTTTTAAAAAAGTTTTGCCGGCCTGGCACGAATTTATTTAATTATAGAAATTAATTTTTATAATTACTCAAAATAAAAGACATATGTTATATGTCGTTTAGTTTCAATAAATAAAATCAAATATTTTTATTTTACATAAAAAATTCAATATAAAATTGATAAATTAAGATATATTTAAAAAAAATTTCAAGGTCCAACCTTACCCGGCTCGAATTTTTTTAAAAATATAAGGCCCGGCCTGAACCCGATTATTTTAAATATATTAAGGCCCAAGCCTAGCTCGAACCCCATTTGGGCCAAGTACGGGCCCGGGCCTAACTTTGCAGATCTCTAGTTTATATAATATCTTTTAAAATTTATTTATTTTTAGTGTGGTTATTTAAAATTTATTTATTTTTAGTGTGGTTATTTAAAATTTCACAATTATATTAAGTTTATATCATTTTTTATTTTAAGGGTTAAACACAATATAAAATATTATAAATTTGTATATTTTATAAATAATTATTAATAAGAAATTTTTTTTTTCATAAATAAAAAAATATATAGTATTTATTTATATTACAATGTTTCCCATTCAAAAAAGGAAAAGTCCCAATCAAAAAAGTAAAAGCTTCAATCATAAAAGGAAAATCCCATTTCAAAAAGGAAAATCGTTATTTTAAAAAAATTAAAAATTTTTATTTTTCTTACTATATCTTTTCTCAATTTATTTTTCTTCTCATTTTGATAATTCTTTTGTCTTTTTAAAAATGATTTATAAATTTTCCGTTATTTTTCTTCACCTCTCTGCTCCATATTTTTAACAATTCTTTACTTTTATTTTGACTTTTTCTCCTTATATTTTACATATATTAACATTTTCAATCTCTTTAAGTCATTTTAAATCTATTTTTTTGATCTTTTCTCAATTTTTTTTCCTCATTTTTGATAATCCTTTTTAGGAATTATATTTAATTTTCACTAAATTTTTAGCAGGCAATTTTTTTTATTAGAATTTTTTGCATATCAAATTATTTAATTACAATTACGATGTATAACACAGTAAGAAATAAAAATTTATAATAATCATTAATAATTTCCCTCTTCTACATTTTGGAATATAGGTCTCCATATTTCTAAAATAATTTTTTGCAATCTCCTCAGATATTCCTCTCTCTCCATGTTCTATCAAACGAATTAATCTCGTTACTGGGATTTTGATTTTTGACAAAATCCTTCCATTGAAAAAACACATTTTCAATGGGATTAACATAAGGACTGCAAGGGGCTAATTATTTCAATGTATGCCCTCTTTTTTCTAACGATTTCCTAATTGTATGATTATGATGCAATGGAACATTATCCATCACAAAAATCATATTCATCATGTTACCTTCTTCAAAATGACTTAATATTTCATTTACGAAGTTGTTAAAGTATATAACGTTGCATGGGCCATCAAGAACTTCGAATCTGAATATTCTTGCAATTGTGAGCAGCAATGATAGTATAATTCATTGTCTTTACCCCTTGAAAATTTTTAATAACTTTTCTATTTATTTGTGAATATTTATATAACCGCCTCATTGATATTGAAAAACCCGCTCTCATCGATAAATATAAATTTTTATTTTATATAGGTTACATCTACAAACCAATTCACGTATTCTTTGCGAATCTCGTTATTTGATTCTATATTATCTCTAATTAAACGTAGTGATACTCTTTTAAAGCTATACCTAAAACCCAGTGACGAAGCGTCAAGTTTACTACTAGGGAAGCAATCAAAAAATATTTTTATTTTAGTCAAACTCAAACCATAAAAACATTAAGATTTATAAATAAGTGGTATTCGTCTTTGTTTTTGAGTAAAATGATCAAGTACTGCATTATAAAAGATCGCTAGATTTTAAATTTTTTAATAATTTTTTTTCAATCGAAATCAAAGATAGATTCGAATCGATGTTGGCTCATCCTGTTTCTACAATAAGATTTGATTCTTTTTAATTAAAAACTCCGTTCTGCACTTGCTGTTGTTGAAGCCAAAGTTAAGATGAATTTGCATAATTTAAAAAACTCTTTAAAACTTTTCATCAAATCGGTGCATATTAAAAATTCAAGTATTTCATTAACATTCTTTTTCTTTTTAAATTTTACATCCCGAAACACTACCTTTAATTAGGTTTCCACCTTGTGTAAGTCAAAAAATTGAGAATAAGTGTCGTTTAAATTATCTAATAAATATTTTGGGAAATTGATTATTTGGAATTTACTAATATCTAACAATTCGACGAATTTAATATTTTTTGGTGTAAGACACGTGAAATAGAATTAATCAAATCATTTTGAATATTGCTTGTACAATAAAAATTGCACTATTTCTAAATTATGTTACAATAGTAAATTTTCTTCCGCGAGCAAATAAATTAATACAATATAATTTCCTCTATTTACTGAATTAGAAGATTCATCATCACCACGGAATACGATCTCCTGAATTCCAAGAAAACATATAGAGTTGATCATTATTTTCAATATTTCTCTATTTGATTTGACTTTAGAATTATGCTGTTCGATTGATATTTTGCACACCGAATCTATCATATTTTTATACGATTTTAGCCAAATGTTTTTAGTTGAATCATCGACTGCAAATGAGCGGTTGATTCTTTGCCGTTTAACTGCCTTTGAAAAATTATTCATATCCGTAAATCCTTTATCATTCCAAACATATTTTTCCTTTGGGAATAATAGGCATGACCAACAATATAGAGAATTAGAAAATTCACATCCAGTGAGCCATTCATATTTTTCGATAGAAAAATTACGTATGCAAGTTTTGATTTCTTTTTTTAAGTTTTTTGGTTTTGGTCTTCCTTTTTCAATAATCAATTTTTTCGCATCAAAATTTATTGCGCTAAATTATAATGTTAATAAATTTTCAATAATACAATTACAATTATTAAACATTTAAGGATTTTAAAAACCAAAAATTTTTTATTTTAATAAAATAAGGAAAAAAATATTATATAAAAAAAATTTCTTCACTTTTATTTATTAAAAAAATAAGCATTTTTTATTTGCTTCCCCAATGCTTATTTTTTAATGGTAAAATTACACAATACCATGGCCAATGACATATAATAATAACTAGACTGACGATTCATTCATTAAAAGTGTACATCAATACAAATCAGCTAGACGCCATCTTAGTTACTGTAATAAATATTAAAATTTTAAACGAGAGCCTAATTTTATATTATATCTGATGCAAACTTTATTAAAGAATTGCCTGATCATCGAGATAATAAGAAAGTAAGTTATCAATTTAATATTAGTTTTTAACATGAAAATAATTATTATAAAGGTTACCAAAATGGCGGGTCCAGCTGATTTGCTTTTAACGACGATTAAAAATGCATTTTAATGAATGAATTGTCAGTCTAGGTATTATATGTCATTGACCATGGCATGATTTTCTCTTTATTTATTAAAAAAAATAAGCAATATTAAATTTGCTTCCCTCATGTTTATTTTTTTTAACGTAGTATAAATAATAGTAAATTTTTTAACGTAGTATAAATAATAGTAAATTTTTTAACGTAGTAAAAATAATAGTAAATTTTTTAACGTAGTAAAAATAATAGTAAATTTTTTAATAGTAACTTTTTAACGTAGTAAAAATAATAGTATTTCTTAATATAGTTAAAATAATATTAATTTTTTTAACTCTATAAAAATTATAAATCTTTTTAACGTTATAAAAATTATATTAATTTTTTAACGAAGTCAGTTTAGTTTATTTAGCATAGTACAAAGATTATATTAGGTTTATTTAAAAATTTTGTAAGAAAAATTTCAAGGGAAGCAATACTTCCCTTCCTTTTATGGACGCTTCGTCACTGCTAAAACCTGAGATCAACCTTAATACCGTATTTTTTGATATCTCCACATCATATCTTTCTTTGATAATTTCACATAACCTCTTTAAGGATAAAGTGCAATCCAAATTTATTCAATTTAATATATATTCTTCCTCTTCTTGATTTGATTTCTTGCGTACCCATGAACCTCCTTTGGGCAAACTATATTTATTCCATTTTTGAGATGGGAGTATTTAATATTTGTCACTGTCTTATAGCTTACATTAAAACATGATGTTGTATTTTTGATATGCGTCAATAATTAGAGCTTTTGTCACTTAATGTTTTTTACCATATCTTCATAATTTTATTTTTTAAAACAAAAAAATTTCTTTTTAAAATATATACTCATGGAAGGAATGACAAAAAAGACAAGACTAAAATCCTTTAGATTATAACATTTATTTTATTTTACGTTTAATTATTCATAAATCAAAGAATATAGTTTTAAAAATAATTACAAAAAAATTATTTACTTACTCAAAAATATGCTTCTTCCATAAATATTAAAATTTTAAGAATAAGAATTTAAAAATGATTATATTTTATTAATTTACATATCGTTTGGTATTACAGTTCGAATTTAATTTTAAAAAGGTACTGTAACATTTTAGTATTTTAAGTAGACTGAATATGTCCATAGAATATAATGTTTCGGCCAACAATTATAGTGGTTGAAAGAATTTAGAGAATAAAATAAATAGTATAAATAAATTAACTACTAATACTTTATTAATTAATATAAATACTAATTACATAATTATAAATAAGAAATTAAAATAATATAAAAAATAAAAATTAAAACGTAAATTTAAGTTAAAAATAATATAATTTAATCATCTTTTTCTCATCATAATTTCTCCATTATATATCCTTTTTCTTTAACCAACATTAGCATAGTCTCAATTTGTACCGAGATTTAATTCTTTTTTCTTGAGTAGATTTGAATATCTTTCGGCTTCGTTGTTTAAAAGTTATTTGCCTGTCTGGCGTTTTTCTTAATCTAGTAAATTTGCATGTTACCACAATTACTACAGATACATTATAACCAAACGATTAATTTAATTTAGCAATTGTAATTAAATAATTTGATATGTAAAAAATTCTAATATAAATAAATTGTCTGCCAAAAATTTAGTGAAAATTAAATATAATTTCTAAAAAAGAATTATCAAAAATGAGGAAAAATAATTAAGAAAAGATCAAAAAAATAGATTAAAAATGACTTAAAGAGATTGAAAATGTTAATATATGTAAAAGATTAAAATATAAGGAGAAAAAGTCAAAATAAAAGTAAAGAATTGTTAAAAATATGAAGCAGAGAGGTGAAGAAAAATAACGGAAAATTTATAAATAATTTTTAAGATAAAAGAATTATCAATAATGAGAAGAAAAATAAATTGAAAAAAGATAAGAAAAATAAAAATTTATAATTTTTTTAAAAAAATAACGATTTTCTTTTTTTGAATTAGAATTTTCCTTTTTTGATTGTCACTTTTCCTTTTGGGAATTTTCATTTTTTGATCGGACTTTTTCCTAAACCTTTGGGACTTTTCCTTTTTGATTGACACTTTTCTTATTTGATCGGTCCTTTTCCTTTTTTTGATTGGGTCTTTTCCTTTTTTTGATTGGGTCTTTTCCTTTTTTGAATGGGAAACCCTCTAAATTAAATTAAAAAAATTACTCATAGTTTTGAACGAACTTGATAGTGAACATTGAATGTGAACGCATTTGATTTTTGTCAATGAACGTTGAACGCGTTCGATTTTTTAGAAATGTTTACAGCACTACTCGTGATCAAGCATTGATGTGTACCCTTCGACAAAAAACAAGGTCCAGATTTAGAGTTAAAAATTTCAAATGGTGTTTGGATTCTAGGTGTTTAAAGAGCATAAAGAAATGTTAATAAAATAACTTTATTTTTATTATTCAACTCTATAAACATAGTTTACTAGCCAAAAATTTATAAATCATTTATCTTACAATCATTTTATTTTTTTATCCAAAAAGTAATCACCAAACAAAATTAAACATGCCAAACTATTGACAAACTTTATATTTACATAATTTTTTATTTTAATTAGGGGTAATTCTATAACATATCGTTAACTATTCGGCTTGACCCTTTTAATTTTGATAAAACTTTGCATACCAAGGGAATTTCATTAGAAGGCATCTAATCCATATGGAATTATATGAATTCCGCGGATACAAGTAAAATTTTATATGGGATTTCTAGTGCATAGATACAAATTCAATTCCCTTTCCAATATTAATAAGAATGTAATAAAGAGCTCAGAATTAAAAATTGCGAAACATTCATCTGATTCATCAAGTATATTTTTGTACGTCAGTTCTACCCTAACAATATGGTGATATGGCAAAGAATTTATACAAAGACTTTGATCATCAAATTAGAAAAAAATTGAAGGAGTCTTGCAAAGGTTTCTATTTAAGGCAAGGGATACAATAGCTATCCTTAAGGCGAACTATGAAGGTTTTGTTATATCAATTGCCTTATATGAGTAGAACTCACTCTCACTCCCATTTTTGTTTTATTAAATTTCTAATATTTTATTCCTTTTAGTTGGCTTGTTATTATTTTAATACTCAATAATCATTATTTTTAAAATATATAATCATTGCCCTTTTTGACTTTATTACATTTGTATTTTATTTAAATCATATAATTATTATATGTTCATTTAATTTAATATTAATATTATTGGTAGTCATATTACTCTCATATTTTTATAATAACGTAAATTTAATTATTATCGTAAATGTCTTAATTTAATTGACTATAAAACAAAAGCTGATAATAAACATAAAATTGCAAATACAGTCCTTAACTTGATAATCCGAATATTTGTTAATTATGACAAAAATTTTGGTATCAACTAACCCACGTACCCAGCCGGGATGGAATAGAGGGACAATTTTCCTCTCTCTAGTAGACTGAAAATGTAAATTATTTTTAAAGAAATATAAAAGAATTTCATTCATGAATTGCAAGTATCCCTATTTTAAATTATTGTAGAAAGTAAAATTAATTAAAAAAAATTTTTTGCATTAATGTTTTTTCTCAACGCAGTTAATATTTAAAAAATCACATATCTGGCTCAATTATTTTACAATTTAAATCTTGGTATGAAGATTAATTCTAGAAAATCTTTCATGAAAATCAAGCATGCATACTTTAAATTATATTTTGGAGTTTTCCCAAATTTATTAAGAATACTATTATATTGGCAAAAGCACAAGCAAAAATAGATTGATGGGATTAACCCTACTATACAATTTGATCTGCAATAAAAAATTGGCTTAATCGCAAAGGAGATTAAATTTCCATTTATGAATGATGTTATAATTAATTTTTTTGTTTAATTTTATATTTTATACACGATTTACTTGTTGGTATATTACATATAATATTTTTTAACAATATTATGAATATTTTATATTCTCTTTTATTAATATTTTTCCAATTTTGTTTGAAATTTTTAAAATATGTTTAGTTATAGTAAATCTTGTATGATGATTAGTTTTATTAGTTTTGCTAATAACTTTGATTTAGTCGATAATTAACAGCTAAACCAAGATTTAAGCCTAACAAATATTAATTTGTCTAAAATATGGCAGATAAACCCTTTGACAAAACTTTTAGCCTTTGGTAATATTTGTTGGGCTAAAATTGTCACCCCACCCCTTTCTTGTAGGAAGTTTCTGAAACTAACAACTATAATGCCCAATTAAACAGTTGCCACTATATATAAGAAGGACACATAATAAAAGTAGATATCACTTAAGTTAAGATATTTGAATTCTTTATATCAAATCGTCTTAAGAAAGATGAAAAAAATATTTATTTACGTTATGGTTTTTAAAACTATTTATATATTTTTTTTGATTTATGTTAGAACCAAAACAAACCTATCAAAAAGAGCAAAAAGGAAACCCTTACAGTTCATAAAGAAAACACCTTAAATATATATAAATTTTTGAAATCTACTGGTGAGTCGTCATTTAACAGTGTCGTAGAAAGTAACAGTTCTTCAAATACTAATTTTATTTTTCGCAAACTGTCGCCTTCTAAATCGCTCTCTACTTCCTGTAAATCATCACCCTTCACAAAATACCAGGTTAACTTAAAATCAATAATGTATTATATAATTTAATAAATTTACTTTATAAATTTATCAAATTTTAAATTATTTATTCAAACACTTTATTTGCTAATATTCTTTGAAAGAATATGGAATTATATAAAGGCAAATCAATTTTCTCATGAACCCATCTTGTTATATTTTTTTATCAACAATTACTGTACACCTTTACATGAAATTATTTATTTATGTATTTTTAGAAAAATCAGAAAATATCCGAATATAATCATCAAAGTATCAGAAAAAATAAAAAAAGAATATTGAAAAATAGTATATTCAACTATTTTTGATTATTTTAAAAGTATTGTTTTTATTATTTATAAATATTTATATACTAATTATATCAATGTTGATATTATATTTATGTTCAAAATAAAATCTACTGTGAAATATTTTTCTTAATTTGATTTTTTCTCTCATCACTTTTTTATAAGGCTAAATAGAATACCCCTGAGTAGTATACTGTGGCATAGCAACACTCCTGAGATTTTTAAATAGATAAAAATCTCCTAATATTTTAACTTAATTTTTTCAGTGGTCTTCTATTTTATGCCCGCATATATATATTATATATATACAAAGTTTCATGTAAATTTATTAAATGATTTTTTAATATGCGAACATTTTTTGTAGGCAATACGACAATTCACAAAGGTTTTTCATTCAAGAAAGAAAATCTTTTGATCAATAAAGAAAAAAAAGTAAGAACGATCAAAAAAAAAGAAAAGGTTTCTACAAAAAAAGGGTCAATCAAAAATAGTGTCAATTAAAAAAAGGAAAAGATTTGTTATAATGATCCTGATATGTCAATTTTCTTTAATTTTGTTATTTTTTCCCTTTTTATAATTAATTTTATTCCAATTTTTTATATATTTTTTTAAAATTATTCTTTTGTCTTTTTAAAATAAATCGTTTATCCCTGTCATTTTCTCAATTTCATATTTTTTTTTCTCATTCTTTTTTCGTATATTTTTATCTTCATAATTTTAGAAAATGGTTAATAATAAGAATATAGTTGCTTAAGGAAATGATAGTGGTACTAAAAAAATAAACTTGCAAAAAGTATTCGTCAAATTATTTATTTGTGCAAAATGATTGTTTTCATCAAGCTATTAAGATACATTTTTATTTAAGAAACATTTTTTTTAAACATATTTGTTTTTATATTCGAATACTTTTTTTTGAAAATTTTCCCTAACCTGAGTGATTGTCTGTATATCAAAATATTTCATTATAATTACGATATAAGATACAAAAAATTATAGTAATCATTAATCATTTCCTCTCTTCTAAATGTTGGAATATAGATTTCTATATTTTTAAAATAAGTCTTTGGGTTATTCCTCTCTCCCCACCCTCTATAACACCTTTTCTGGTGGTAAGCTCCTTCAACATCTCTCTCCACTTTATGTTATTCATACAATCTCTTTTATCTATTTTATACTTCTTTATATTGGCTCTAACTTTATGGCCCCATTGAAGTTTTGGCCTTCCTCTTTTACGTTTGCCCATCACTTCCAAACTTTCAACTTTATTTCCTATGTAGTTCATAGGCCTTCTCATTGTGTGCCCATACCACCTAAGTCTGTTTACCATTAACTTAGTCTTAATGGGCACTACCTTTAAACTATTTAGTATTTTTGTACTGCGCACCTTATCCTTTCTTGTTACCCCAGCAATCATCCTCAGCATTCTCATCTCCATAGTTTGTAAACTTCTCTCGTCTGATTCTTTGGTTGGCCATGTTTCTGAACCATATAGAATAGTTGGTTGTACTATGGAACTGTAGATTTTTCCCTTTAATTTGTGTGGGATTCTTTTGTCAAATAGCACTCCAGATAAAGATCTCCACTTTAACCACCCTTGATTAATCTTATTCTTTATCTCTTTTTCTATTGTGCCGTTTGTTTGTATAGTGGAGCCCAAATATTTGCAGCTTCCATATGCGGATATCTGCCAATCATTCATTACTCTCCGTTTCATCTCCTCCTATCACCATATACTCCGTCTTTTCTCTATTTACTTTTAATCCGTGCGTTTCTAGGATATTTATCCAATTCACTAACCTTTCTTTCATTTCATTCTTGGATTCGGCAAGTATCACAATATCATCTGCAAATATCATATTCCACGGGACTGTTTGAGGTATAGACTGTGCTAATACATCTATTACTGTAATGAAGAGAAGTGGGCTGAGAGCCGACCCTTGATGAACTCCTTCGGCTATTGTGAAGCCTGCTGAAGTACCTGTTGTGCTACGGACCATTGTTGTATGTATGGGATTTTGATTTTTAACAAAATCTTTCAATTGGGAAAATTTATTTTCTATTGTATAAAGAAGATAAAGGCTATATGGTAAGTTGCTAAAAGTGGAATGATTAAAAATGGAGAAAGAAAAGAGAACAGGGAAATTAAATGAGAAATAAAAATAGAGGAAATATGATAAAAATGATTATAAATGACATAAAATTTAAAAAGCCATCACAAAAAGTTAGAAAAAAAATATTACATGACAGTTAAAACTACTACAAAAATAACTCTTTTCCTTTGTTGGTTACCTTTTTCTTATTTTAGATTCATTTGTAAATTCATTGGTAATACTTAGTGAAAATATATTGAACAATGATTTACCTCGCCAAGTTCACTAAATTCCTTTTGGCGCAAGATTAATTTCTTTTTCTAAGTCTGATGGTGGAGTTCGGCCAATTGCAATGGGTCTTTTTTTAGGAGACTATTAGCTAAGATAATCGTTGAGTGCATCAAACCTGATGCTTCAAAAATGTTCCAAACATATCAACTAGGCTTTGGTACTAAAGGGGGATACGAAATAGCCACTCACTCTCTTCGCATATATATCGAAGATCCTCCTCCAGACGCCGTAGTCTGTAAGCTTGATTTTAAAAATGCTTTTAATTCTTTATCCGGAAAAGCATTTTTGAACATTTTTTAAGAAAAATTCCCAGTTTATGCAAGATTTATTGAACAGTCTTATGGTGGTAGAACCCCTCTCAAGTTCGGGGAATATACAATTCCATCTGACAAAGGTATTCAACAAGGAGACTCTTTGGGTCCTCTGATCTATAGATAACCTAATTCATTGTCTAAAATCCTTTTTTAATTTAGATTTAAACATATGGTATCTAGATGATGGTACCATTTGCGGACCTTCTAAAAATATTCTTGCAGCGATAGAATATATAGAGAAGAGTTAAACATAGGCCTTACTCTAAATAAAGGTAAATCTGAAATATGATTTTTAAATTCAAATACTCGAAGTCCAAGGGTTTAAAATCATTAAAAAAAGTTAAATTAATCTTCTAGGTTCACTTTTAAGCAGTTTTTCCAACTCAAAGGTGTTCGTGGAAGAATTTTTCAAAGGCTTATTAGGACTTGAAAATATTTTAAAAGAAATTCCTTCACACCAGAGCTTTTTTCTTTTAAAAAAATATTTATTTTTACCAAATATTTTACATAATTTTAGATCTTCCTTTTTTTTAAATAATGAAATCATTAATCGTGTTCATGAATTTTTTAGAAGTTTATTAGAAAATATTATATTGGAAGATTTTAATTGGGGTTTCTCACAATTACCCTCGAAAATGGGTGGTTTAGATTTATATCCTTTAAATCTTATATCTCTTTCCATTTTTGGCATCGCGTTTTGTTGAATAATGCCATGATATCTTCTTTTATCTCCCCTAAAGATAACCTTTTAAACTCAGACTTGACAGCTTGGGTATCTTTAGCTCCACCTGAAGCTATTTTATCCACACACACCAATCTATTTTCCAACCTTTAATTAAAAAATTTTTAAAAATAATCTCATCAAACCCCCTTTGGAGTATATTCAACTATTACAAAAAGCTGACTGTACTAGTGGTTATGAATGGTTGGGAAGCATTACCAAGTCGTAGCCTAGGTAACCTATTATCAGATGAACAACTAAGAGTTGCCATAGGCCATCTTGGATTCGGACCCGTTAATATATATTAAATCACAAAATTTGGTTATTAGCAATTTGACAAATGATCGTTGTCAAGAAAATGGCATGATGAATATTATCATTAGCACAGTTAAAACAATCATAAGGGTGAGAATCCTTTTTGGGTAGTATTTCTTTGATTTACTCATTGCAGACCTAAATCTAATTAAAAAATTTTGCTTTACAACATTATTATATATTTGATAATTATATTGATTTATGTATTTTCGTAGTTATAAGCAAAAATAAAAACAGAACTCTAGATGAAAAATCAAATAATTACCTAAGACCCATCTTAATTGTTTTCATTAATTCACATATTTTTTACGCTTTTCACCTATCGCCTAAAAATACCATTTCTATGTGCTTAGTTTTTAAATATGAATGATGGTTCAAATGATCGTAAAAATCATATTCGAAATTATACACAAGAAAATCAAGCTCTAGATGAAATTGCTAAAGAGGTAAAAAAAAAAATTTATTAGTTCAATTATTTTAAAATTAGTTTCCTTAGAATATTTGATAAATTTATAATTATATTTATATGTGAAATTTAATTTTTATAAATATTTAAATTAGATATCTTAAAAATTATTTGACATAAAGAATTTATTTGTAAATCATAATTATTTATGCTTAGAATTTTATTAATTTTTCTTATGTTATTTTTAATATGCATAATCTAATCACAATAATTTTTTGCTATATAATTACTAGAAATATTGCCTTGTATGCTTTTTTTAATAATGTTATTTTTTGAAAAATTATCATAAATAACTAAATTTATGAAAATTTAAAATCAAAGCAAATATATTAATTTTTATCAATTACTTATATAATATTTTTTTGGATTTTGAATTGTTGTCATCACTACAAGACTTCATAAGTAGCATTTTTGGAATTGTTCAGTAGAGAAAAAACTATCTTAATTGTTATTATAATTATAAAATATATACTTATTAATGAATTTTAACTTTTAATTATGGTTTTTAAAAAAATATATTTACGTATATGACCCTCATATCACTTATGAGCTTTTGTTTTTAAATATAATAACGTTAAGAATTTTATTTTACTATTTTTTAAAAAAAATACAAAAGCTAAAAATATCAGTTACAAGATTTTATGGCTGTGCCGATCCACAAATTTTTTACCTATCCAATCTGATATTACTAAAAACTGATTATATTGATTTTTACTTACAATCTATCTTTTATCAATGTCATGAATATATCAATATTTTCTACTTTAAAAAAAACCAATTAACTTTCATGAATGATTAAGTGTATTTTATTTTTTTATTTTTCATAAGTTAAATATTCTCATTTATAATATTTGCAATGTTTATGGGTGAATGTAGTGTTGTTCATTTGGTCTATTTTTAAAAGGGCCAAATCAAAATTTTAACTAAAATATTATTGCCTATGCCTTAAAATAATAGAAATCCAAAATTTTCTTGGAGAAATCAATAAGCAAGAATAATTTACTCTAGGTTAAAATTTTGAGTTAATCGTTTAAAATTGACTAAATCGAGCCGATTAGCAACATTAATGTTACTCATTAGATGCTTTTAAATCTTTTCTTTTTTCAAATAATGTAACAATAAACAGTTTAAAATTTAAATTATACTATTTTTTTAAACATTACAACAAATAACTATAATTTATTATTATGAAATTATTTATAAAATAAAAAAAATTATATAATTATATATACAATTGTAAAATAACCAAAAACATAAAAAATATTGGATCTGATAGGGGGTTTAAAAAGATCTTCCAATCTGATATTTTTAAAACGCTAAATATCTGTGTCATTCAATATTAGATATTGGCACAGCTCTACAAGATTTTGATAGCTTGTTTTTTTTCGCACATATTATGTGGTTATGTTATAAAAAACTAGTTTTTTTACTAGTTATTGAGACACAATCTTTTGAGAGAGATGATAACTGGTATTGATGAACCAATTTATCCAAAAAAGGTACTTTTGAAAAATTGCTACTTATGAGATCTTCCAGTTGTGAATATTTTAATTTGCATTATTTACATTATTTACATTTTTTTATGTGATAATTTGTTTAAGAGTAATTAGACATTGTATGAGTTAAAGATATTTTTGGATTGGAAAATTATGATGGACATTCTTTGCCATAGATAAAGCCCTTCCTTAGGGTTGCCTGTGATTTATCATGTTTTTGCCCTATTGTTTTGAAAAATTTAGAGCTTGAGGTTCAAATGGATCACAGGTGATAGGAATATTTATTAGTTTTTAAGTTTTCTACTGTCATGATGGAGTTGGTAGTAAAGGATACACGGCAAAACAATCTAATCATTTGTATTCACAATTAAAGGGTATACCTTGGTTCCAAGGGATTAGGGTCATCCCATTGGGCCTGGTTTGATTGTTGGCTTGAGGTTGGAAGGTTCTAGTGTGGAAGGGTTGTAGCTCTCAATGTCCTATTCAAATTGATGACAGAGTTCCTGGGTAGTCTGCCTTTTGAAAAGTGACAATGTAGAGGTCTATGGCCTAGGTAAATATGGGTGTATCAGAGGGCCAGAGTTGTTACACGATATTTTTTTAGGTAGCCATAGCTAATAGTGGCTACTTTTTTTGTAATTATTTAATTTTTTAGTGCGCTACTTTTTTTGAAATTAGATAAGTAGCGCTACTTAGCTACTTTCAAAAAATATAATGAAGGTAAGTATAAACATGAAAATTTAAATATAATATCATAATTAATTATAATTTTTATGATTTATTATTTTATTTTGAAATTGAAATATATTTTTAATTTGTAATTTATATTTTCATTTGTATTATAAACCTAAATCATGTGTTAATCATTTAAAATGTCATCGCCTATGGATATCCAAATTGCTGAAAGTGATTCAGAGTCAGACAATGATATTAATGAAATGAAAGATACCAAGGAAGAAAATGTTCTTAATAGCTATAATACACCCATTCCCTAGATTTGAAATTTTTTTAAAAATAAATTAAAAACCAAAAAGGGCTTCAAATTTATTTGCCTAACCCTTCAATACTCTGGTGGGGTATATGAAACCCCAGGCATGCTAGAAATGATATTAATAAAAACGGTTAAATATTATGATCTGGATTCTTCAGTAGCTTCATCAAATGTATCTTAGAATCTATATTCCACATTTCACATATTTCGGTTGAGTATTTTTTAAGATATAAGCATTTTGTGACTGATTGGGGTTTGTGAGACCCCACCAGAGTAAATTTGTAATTTTTTAAGAATATATTTTTTTTAAATTATAAATATATACTACTATATTATAAAATTTATTAAAACAAAATTTAAATATCTTTTATTTTGATTGAGATATATGAAAAAGAAAACTTAAACATTTTTTTTGGTAGAGTTGTTTTATTCTTATTTTCACCATTTGGCTCATTTCTAAATTATTTTTATCATTTACCAGACAATAAACATAAATATTATTTATATGAAATTATATATTATATCTATTTCTCTGTAAAATTAGCTAAAAATAAGGTGACTCAATTATGGAAATCTGATGGGTTTGGAATTGAGATATTTTGAGCAACAATGACACTCAAAAGATTCAGAATTCTAATTCATACAATAAGATTTGATGACATATTAACAAGAGAAGAAAGAAAATGGTAGACAAAGCAACTCACATTAGAAATATTTTTCAAGAATTTGTTGATAACTGCTACAGATCTTATACAATATCAGAATATGCAACCCTAGATGAAATGCTTCCAGCATTTCATGGTAAATGCCAATTCAGGCAATACATGCCAAATAAACCATCAAAATATGGCATAAAACTATACTCCTTATAAAAAAAACAAAATATTTTTGTCAAATATGTCAAATAAATTTATGTTTAGAACACATTAATATTTTATGTAATAAATGTTTTGCATGTCAAATTTAGCATTATTCAATGTTCTATATTTTTTATATATTAAAATATATTAGTGTAATTTTTTTTTTATATTGAAGAATAAAGATCCATATTATGAATTATCATGATTATATGATGGATAAATTATTTTTTTAATTTTATATTTTAAATTTAAAAAAAAGCTTTTTAAAAAATTTTGGCACAAATTATAATTATCCTCATCATCTTTAATCTAGGCTTAAGAAATAAAAATATTTAAATATTTTATCAAGCTTAAGGTTAGATCTAGGGCCGATCCACATATTTTTCACCTATCCGATCCGATATTTTCCGATATTGTTTCAAAACCGATGCGATACCGATCCAATATTTATACTGATTTTTAATCACCCCCGTTTGAACCAAATGTAATTAAGCGAATTATGAATTTAATTTAATTTTTTTATTTCTACAATTAAGTAAGACTATAATAAAAAAATATATATTTAATAATATATCCATTTTATGTTGGTATGAATTATAAAATTGTAATATTTAATATATAAAATTATAATATATTAGATTTTTTAATAAATATGAGACCCTCCAGTTTCTGGGAATAAGCTTCTATGATATGGACTATCTATACCTCCTGCCCACCCCCTATACCCTTTAATATCTTATTTTGATTTATTTCCCTTTTTTTTACCAAGGCAGACTCAGATGATTCCGCAGATAACGCATTTTGCAAAATAATCTTTGTCTTTCGTAAAATATTTCCATAATTCAGATACCATATTTAAAAAAATTTTTTTATTTTAAAGTATGAATAAAAAAAATTTTATTTAAAAAGATTTAAAATAAATAAAACGTTGGGTGTTTCTTTCTATTTTTATAAAAAAAAACTTTTAAAATACTATAAATCTATTTTAAAAAAGAAATAAAATTTTAAAAAATTATTTAGAAAATATTATAATAATGTAAAATAAAATAACATAAAATAAAATAACACGGATCGAGTTTTTACAGGTATCGGCCCCATCCGATATTCTCGGAAAACACTAAGTATCGATACCGATCCGATATTTATTATTGGCGCAGCCCCTTATATCCAAATATCAAATGAAAATTATGAATATAACTAGAGATATATACATTTGAATATTAAACCCCACCCGAGTACTAACGTCATTTTTTTCACCGGAGTATTGAAGGGTTAAAATGTAAAAAAAATATCTCCTCAAATCAATCCAGTTATAACCTCAAGAAACACCTAAAGGTAAATTGTCATTTTTAATAGTATTTTTTATTTTATAAGACTGTTCATGCCAATAGTTTTAAGGAAATGGAGAAACATCTAAATAATTTTGGTATATGCCACTCTACATCCAAAAAGTCTTCAATTCAAACCAAATTAATAAATAATACAAATGCCAATATTTCTAAGAAATTGGCTGATAGTTATTGTTGATTATATAATTGATACAGTTCAGCCAATGTCCTTGGTTGATAATTCATCATTTACCATTTATGTCGCCAGACACTAATGAATAAAATAGCAGATAACTTTAAAGTGT